CAAGTCCAGGTTGCCAAGCTCCACACGGCTGTTCTCGTGCATATCTCGCTGACTGACTCAGGCTGAAAGAAGCGGGGCACAGCTCTGAGGAGCTGGCTCCACTTAGACAAGGCAGCCTCTCTCAGCCTGGCTGTCCTGTGGCTTCCACTGTCCCACAGCACGAAGCTTGGGCTGAGGCAAGGTGACCTGGGCTACCTCAGGTTTGTCTGGGCCTCGGGGTAGAAATGCAGCAGAAGTCTGTCTACTTCTGGTTCCGTAATCTTCCAACTCATAAGGTCGTACATTTGGCTGGGGATGTCCCCGAGGAGATCAACCCAAACCTGCATTGACTCCGCTACCCAATTGTACATTGCGCGAAAGTCAGGATCTTCCTCCTCGTGCACCGTGCAAACCCATCCTTCAACTGCAGCAACATATGTGCTTTCCTTGGAAGTTTCCGAGTCTCCGTGGAGCTCGCCACAGAGCATAAAGGCGAACGACGCCCAGTTCCAGTTCCCGAACATTGGTAGCTGCACCGACTTGTGGAAGTCGTCATGACGCTTGGTAAAGTGGCCTCTGTTGAAATACGAGGCCATGTGTTCCGTGGCCCCATTCTGGCGCAATTTGCGCATGCCAGTTCGGAGCTCACTCCATCTGCTCCACTGACGCTCCTTCTGGGCCACCGATTGGGGTGGGCCTCGTGGAAGGACTTTTGGCAGACTGTCCTCCGCGATCTGGGGCCGACTGTCCTCGGCTTCCTCATGGTGACCTCGCTTGCGGGGGCTGCGAGGAGGGGTCGGTGGACGTCCCTGTGCTTTGGCCTCGCGGCGCTCCTCCGTGGGGGAGCGTCATCTTGGGTATCCCTCTGCCGCTCTACCCTGCGTGGGGGAGCATCATCTCTAGTGTCTCGTTGCCAGTCAGCTCTTCTAGTGGAGGCTGTATCTCGGGCGGCACGGTCATCTCGAGTGGCGCCTCTTTGTGGCTGTCGTCGGCCCCCTTGAGGTTCTTCATCATCTTGCTGCTGACGGCGAGTGGGGCGGCGGTCTTCTGTATGGTCTCTCCAGCCGTCCCATTGCGGTGATGAATAATTTCTCCATCCACCTCCTTGCCATGTGTCGCGGTCCCAGCCTCTGTCGCGACTTCGATCGTCTTCCTGGTCGCGGCGCTGTGTGGGCCGGCGATCCTGATCATCTCGCCTGTCGGTTCGCCGGTCTTGCTGGCGCTGGTCTTGCTGGCGATTTGGAGCCTGAGTTGGGGGCCGACGCTGCGGCTGCTCCCCTTGTCCTTTTCCACGATCCGAATTTTTGCCCTTCCCTTCCCCTTGTTCTGCCTGGCTTGGATCTCACCGGCAGTGCGGCGACGTGTGCCGTCCGCCCTATAGCGGGATCGCGGGTAACGACGGGGCCTCTCGTCTTCTTCGGGCTCCTGATCATCTTCGTCGTCGTCGTCCCGATTATCGCGCTGGTGGCGATGGCCACCTCTCCCTGCTGTCGGCATGGTGCTTGAGTCGGCAACACTTCTGCGGGCACTGTCTCTTGCACAAGTAGCACTGCTAGCTGCTAAGCAAAGGGAAACTCTGCTGACCTCGGCATTACGGGCAAACGACCGGCTGAGCGGGTCCTGCATCCTGGGACGGCTGGTTCATGTTGAAGTGGCCGACCTGAGGACAGTGGTGCAACATCCACTCTACCAGTGTGTTGGAACTGCGCTTGGCTGCTGGCACTGAGGCCCATCGCAGTAAAGAAAAATTCTAGGTCGACCAGTACAAGCACTGCATGGGAACATGGGTGTTGACAAGTGGGGCCCTCGGTTGGGCACCCAGAAGAAGTTGCTAACTGAGCTGCACTGGGAGAGCCGCCTGGTTGGCTCGATCCTGATGGCACTCTGTATGACTGCACGTGCGCAGCGTCTGAGCTGTTCGCTGCGGTGACCTTAGTAGGGGCCGATTGCGGTCTCCCTGGGGGGTGGTTACATTCCACGTCCCCGCTACCTGACAGATTAGTCCAAACTGTGCAGGTCCAGTGCCTGCGGTCCTGGACAAGATGATTGCTGATACCACTGCTGGTGTGATTTTTGGGCCACTGGGTTGGCGTGTTCAGCAAGAAGGTCTCGCTGTTGCCTGGCAGTGCCTGGGTTGGGTGCGGTATTCCCAAAGGCTCGGGCCAGCTTTGGTGGCACCTCGGTTCCTCGAGACTGAACAATGCCTGCACTGCGATAATAACAAGAAGGCATCTTATTATGTGTCGAATGCATGCTGATGTTCCCGCTCTCAGACGATGGAGAGCGTGCTGCGGAGCTCGATCCTGCGATTGCAAAGCTGCGGCTCCCTTCTGGGGCCGGTTCCTTCCTGCAGTGTTTCTTCTTCGGCGGTTGCAAATTTGCTGCTGAAGACTCTCTCTCTCCCACCTGATAAACGGAAGGTCGCTGGTCATAGCTGAGTTTGAGTTCCTGTCAAGAGAGCCCAGCTCACGGCAAGGGCTATTACTGTGCATGTCCTTCCATGGCATCGACTAGCGTGGCGTGTACCCTCTGGTGGGGCACAGCTATGTACAAACTACCCCTCCCCAACAAAACACAGCTGGAGCCGGAGGCTTACTGGGTGCGTCTGCAGGATTGCTAAGGCTGGGCACCCGAGCAAACCACGACTGGATTCTGAAGTGCTGCTCACATGTCAGCACTGTCTGGACGAGGCTGAAATTAGACCTGCGAAAAGCACGAGCACTGATCAAACAGTGTCTGGCTGCATCATTATCAATCCACCAAATCACAGGCCACTCTTTAAGCTGACTGCCCCAAATGGCTGCAGCGACTGAAACCGCCAGGAGTTCGCACTGCAAAATGGGGTGATTGGTGCCAGACCGGCTCCAAAGCTCAACAACGTCACTGGGCACAGTGGCTTGAAACCAGGCTAAGAGGCTGCCACCAGGGCTGCGCAGAACACCGTTGCGCAGTCCTGACACCGGTGCCACAGACCAGCGAGACTGGAGCCTGTCAACCGCAAGGCTCAAGCCAGCGACTCAAAGAGACGTTCCCGGCCTGACTCGAAGCTTCCCCTGGCACACAAGTGCAGGGGAGGCAACGAAGACTGCAACCACAAGGTCCTGCCTGGGAAGTGACTGAAGCCTGGCACAAGCCGGCTGGAATAAAAACTAAAGGCCACAGGTGAGCCCTGCCTGCCGAGAGGTCCACAAGGACTTTCCCCCCCGCGTGCGTCCGGCTCAAGCCAAGAACGGCGCAGGCGAGGCAGGCAGTGGCTAGGAAACAAGCGCAAGCAGGACTGAGATGCGCAAGCAAGGCTGGCACACAAGTGCTATCGACTCTTTACGGCTAAGGCCGACTGCGGAAGCTTTGGGCCAGAAATGGTCCGGCTGGTCGCCTGTCTGGACGGCTGGGCCCTGGACTGTGTGAAAGTCTGGGACTAAGGTCCCTAAGATACGGCTGGACCGAGTTTGCGACTGAATATATGCCTGATGTAACCTGAGTGCTGTCACGGAAAGCTCGGCCGCCAGCACTGCAAAAGACTGAAAAAGGCTGTGACTAAAGAGGCTGGAAAAGGCTACGAAAGGCTGGCTCACCCTGACCAAGGAAGGAGGGCCTGGCCATTGCGTCAATGCCGCACGACTAGTGTGGAGCAACCTGTCTCGTCTGTACCTCGGCTCAACGTCTGCCACGACGGCTGGATCCTGAAAAAGACTAGGTGAGAACAGTCTGCTCCGGCCTCTGACGTGGCAGCGAGGGCAATCGTGATGCTCGTGCCACGCCCCGCCTTCCTTGGTCAGGGTGATGGCCAGACTGGACAGGTGCTGAGGCAGAACCCATCGGTTCTGTGACCGTGGGCCCGCAAAGTGGCTGGCAACCGGCTGTCACGGGCTGTACTCAGTGGCGGGAAGGCTGTAGAGTACGGCGGCACCGTGGGGAGCACGCCGTGTGCTCCTACCGCCGCCCAGGTTGCATAGTAGATTCCCGCGTTGTAACCTACAAGGGTGTCTGGAAACCTTGAGAGGCTGGCGGTGTCTGGGAGGAACCGCTGGCAGCGTCCTGTCAGGGTTGGTGGTGGCGTTGGTGCCTTAGCCTGCGGCTGGCCTGGAACTGTCTGAGCAGCCTGTGGCTGAGTCTGGACTGGCATAGCCTTGACCGGAAAGGACTTTTGAGGTGGTCCCGTGCCTCCCTTGGTCTTAGCTTTGATGATCGGCTGAAGGTTCCGGGCTGAGGGCTGCGGTGGCTGCACCTGAGTTGCGACCTACTTTGGTCTACCGTAGCTGCCTGAAGAACCAAAACTGTAGTCGACTGCGAGGGACCTTGGTTGACTGTACCGGTTGCGGGCTGTGGCTGCACCTGGGCTGGCGAGGGGGCCAGCTCGTCATCAAGTTGGTCAGCCCATGAGGGCTGTCCCGGCTGAACCACGTCTGACTCCTCAGTGGTACTGCTGTAGGTCAAGTGCCGAGAGATGATAAGAGGCTGTCCCAAGCCCTGTGTCAACGACCACGAGGGTGCCTGCGTTCTGACTGTTCCTGACACGGCTGGCGAAGTCTATGACAGCCTCCAACCGCCCCTGCAGGTCTTCTGGCAAGTCTGCCGAAGCTTCAACCAAAACATCGCCGTCGACTCATCAGGCTGCCCAAGTCTGGTCCTGGCTGGACATGGCCGCACTGGGCACACTAGCGGCTGAAGACTGAAAATTTCTGGCTCTTGAGCCAAAATGGACGTAGCAGAGCAGTTAAAGGCTGATACTCGTATGCATGCCATAAAATAGTTCTGTTAGGATAGATATTTGGGTTGGTGGGGTGGGCGGTGCCAATAGCCGTAAATGTTCTAACTTAAACCCCCATAGCCGCAGAGGCAGTCTACCGGTGATCTTCCTTCAGAGTCTTGCCGGATGTCATGACAGATGAGGCGGGTGAAAATGGCAGAGAGACCATGGTCGGGAAAAGAGAAGGGCCGAAACAGCCGGAAGTCTTACGGGGTGAGGCAGGGATCAGCTTCTCAATGCTGGGCCGTAGGGCTTCATCTAAGACCCGAGCCAAGAGCCGAACCGAGGACGGTCGAGTTTCCTCGGCGTAGCCTCTGCTCGAAGGGGAACTAGGCCGTTTGCTTGCACTTCGATGTGTTGCATGTTGGGTGCCTTGTTTGTTTGTTTGCCTGCTGGCGTGTTGTTGGTTTGTTGAGACATTGACATTTTTTAACGATAAGCGGCGGGTCCACGCAGTGCTGGAACACATTCAGCATCAAGGTCAAATGCAAGGTTGTTCGACTAGGTTGTGTTCTTCTGATGTCTGTGTGCGCGCGCGAAGCTACATGTATGTGCTTGTGTGTTGGTGGTTGGTTGCTTGCCTGCTTTGGTGTCAATCTCTTTGCTTCAATGCTTACCAAACCTTGACTGGGTTCTAGATTCTAGAAAAGATACCATCGACCAAGCGCGTAAGAAGACACCGGAGTCACCGCAAGATTATCGAGGTGCTACTGGCGGCCTGGCCCTCAGTTGTCCAGTACCGATTTCACAACCGCGCAACTTTTGGAGATTCAGTAAGTCTCCCTAGTCACTCGTCAAGTGTTCAGCGATGTGCATCTCCCCGGCACTTGCACATGGCACTTTTTAACCGCACAAGTCTCCATCGCAAGTGGTATCCAGCTACACTGCTCATAAGCATTCCATACACCGGTCTGTCATAGCCTTTGTGACACATCAGGGTGGTTTAAGATGAGCTTCAGCAACTTGGAACAGCACTGACAGAAGTCCACACACAAGAGCTCCTATTGCTGATGCGTTTGCAAGTGCAACCTTCGCTGCCATTGCACCAACATTCGCGGCCTTTGTTTTGGCACCAAAGTAAACGATACCAGCAACAATGCCAGGTGGCCCAACAAACTGGGCCACAAAATATGCGAGGCAAGCCAGAAGTCCCGGTGACCACATGGCAGCAGAAGAAGTTGCCACAAGGCCACTGCAAGCTTTGATACAGCCCAGAATGCAGAGTCCACATAGGATCTTCGTGCCCCGCTCCAGCATTCTCAAAACGTTCGTAACGTAATGCATGAACTCTGTGTGTGAGTGGAAAACCCCAAGTTTGTCGCCTTTGTGATGAGCCTTGTCCGGAACCCTGGCTGCCCGGATGGGCGCCGAGTAGCTGTAGGCTGAGAGCGCTATGGCAACAACGACGCAGACTGCAGCCAACAGCGTCTTTTTGGGATGAGGTGACGCCATTGCAGAACGCTAACCTGGCTATGGTCAAGGCCTTACTGTTCCGAGGCGACTCAACAAGCAAAATACTGCTTCACAGTTGAAATCGTACTCAGAAGCTCCAAACCTCCAAGCCCCGGAAGAGCTTGACTGGATTTCAACATCCCCGGTTCCCTCTAAACAATCGTTCTTAGCCATTTTGTCACTTCGAGCAGACCAGCTCGTACCACGCCCTGCAAACCTTTGATGCTGCTGCAAATCGGAATTTCTGCGCCCCAAGCCTTTCAAGTCTCCTCGGAGGGCAAAACCGAGCAATCCAGCGCCCACTAAAGAACTTCGAGTCGCTCCAGCCGCAGCTGCAGACGCCGGGACCGAGTCGCACCTCAACCCAGCATCAAGCTCTTCTTCTGGTACAACATCGAGCCAACGGCACATTGCACCTTCAACGAAACACCACACGTTCTCGGGCTTCGGACCAGCGTGCGGTTTCTCCTGAGGTTGGGTGTAAGGCAACGCGTAGAAAGGTTTGACGGGTGAACTGCCGACATTGAGCTACAGACCGGTAACCCTACACTGCTCCACGCTGCCGTGGTGCTGTGCCAGACATAGCACTCAACCGACAAAGCTGGCTCCTTCGCATCCAGAGCTTGCAACACCGTCTTCTCGAGAACAGGCATCCGTGTAGTCGCAAACCTTTGGCGGTGCAGAGGGGTCAGTGGAACTAGGCCAAAGCATGCGACATGCTTCTGCGAGCCTTCGGGCGCTCAGCTACCCTTGCATTCTTCTTGCTTCACTTTCGAAACGACTTCGATATGGCGGTCATCTCAGTGTCGGTCAGTTCAACCAAGTGATCCTGCGTCGTGGGGACAGCGGGATCTCACATCGGCTCTCGCGGGTGTCCATTGGCTCAAATCTTGTGGCCCATGGTCGGTGGCTACTTCTCCACTGTAAACAGGGGCGACAGTAGTGCTTTCGTCTCATCTATCTATCTCTCTTGTGGCTTTTGTTTTCGGGTATCTTTCAGAGTATTTGTTATCTACCTCTCTGCATGCCCTTGATGTGTGTTAGTCTTTCTATTTCTCGGTCAGGGTTTCTGGGTGGCCTGCTGTTGTGCCTTGTCTATCTCTCCTCTTGTTTGCCTTGCCCCTCTCTCTCTGTGTCGCGTTCTCTTTGTCTCCTGACTGCGGTTAGAAGAGTGGCACCCCTCTCCCGCCTGTGCACCCGGGCTTGCTGTTCCGTCCTTCCCTTCCTCGGTGCTTGTGGCGTTACCTTGCGGCGATTGCCTCTCTTGCCTGCTTGCTCCCAGCCCTCGGGTCCCCCTCCCTTTGGATGGAATCCTGGGAACCCCGCGTGCACACACGCCTCTCCCTCTCTCGCTTCCGTCTCTCTTCCCTTATATGGTCTGAAAACAGACAGGATTGCACGTGAGCAGCATCTCGCTTCCGGGTAACTGCTAAGACTGTCTTTGAATCACAAGTGGGAACGTCTAGAAACCCTACGGCATCGCACGGAAATGTGCTAAACCGACTGGGCTGGTTGCGAGGAGACGGCAAGACGATGGTATAATCCTTGAAAGTATCAACCTGCCGAATTTCCTACAGTTGCCCCTCCTCTTTGGGAAGCGGCAGCAGCTCTGAGGGCGAGGGCGGCGCCTTCCGCTCCCAGGAGCTGAAGCGGAGCTGAACCAAGTGCTGCTGGCATGGGCCCTCACTGTCCCTCATGTGCCTCAAGTTCCGTTCTCGGAGGCGGTGGTGCTAACGACTCGACATTCTAAAGCAGCAAAATGCAGCAGAGCTGGGCTGAGGTGGAAGGGCCCCAGCCTCCTCCAGCCAGGCCACTGTTTCGAGCCTGGCCGGCAATGAATCTGAGTGTTGAGGCCCGACCAGTACTTCGGAGCCGCGGCAGTTTCAGAAGCCCTCCACAAAACATGCCTGCTTCACGGGGCCAAGGCGGCTGCCAAACGCAGTATCTCGGCAGAAGGCTGGCTGTCTTGTGTTTGTCCCGGTTTATTCGTCGAGGTACCTCAAAGCCGCCGACAGCCCCTGGCCCCGAGTAGGTTGTATCTAAACCATTCTTAGCATGGCACAGTTGCCGGGGATCCCGTGCGCCAGGATAGCTGGGAAGCCACTGCCTCCCTGAGCTTCGGGTTCAGGTGACCTTCAGATGGCAGTTCAGTCACACAACGTGGACAGCAGCGAGTCTGGGTCGGACACCGTCACGGTGCTTGCTGTCGCTGCGCTTCTACAAGCTTCACGACTTCTCGCTCGACTCCCCTAAGGCTTCAGATGCTTGCCAGCCTTTTTTTGCTCCTGAGCCGGTAGGAGCTATTCACCACTGCTGCTTAAGATGTGCTTCTGCCTCACTGTCACGCCAAGTGCGTCCATACCCTGAATTGCAGAATCGCGGTACGATCAAAAGGAATCACGAGTACTTGAGCGACAATATCAAGAAACCACAAATGAGCGCACAATGCAGCTGCTCCAACTCATGATTCCTCTCGATCAACATCTCGATGCTCGCCACCAACAACCAGAACTGTGGAATACAAATGGTGGCTGGAGTTGGCAAGGGTAGCCTGGCAAGACTTCGCCGATGTTGCACGCAATGAATCAAACTTCGAGGGCACTGGAAGGGCTGCAGGCCTGTGTCCAAGATGCGTCGTTGGCAACTGCATCCGAGCCCTCACACAAAATTGTGTCGTGCTAACCATTGATGACCGCTGTGGAGCGTGGCCGCAGCCGTACCCATGTCGGTAGGCAAACCTCCGTCGGCTGTGCCCATCCGTGGTTGCCAAGCCTTCGTCGGCTGTAGCCATATTCATGGTGGCCAGAGCCATATCCACTGTTACTACCAAACCTCCGCCTGCTAAAGGACCTGTACATCTGCGCCTGCCATCACAGATGCTGAAGCGGCGCCTGCCAGAATGGCCGCCACTGTACGGGCCGAACTGGTCAGACTCATTCACTTGTTCCTGTGACAGTGCGGGGCCCCTACAAAACTTCTGTTTTAGAAAAGAGAAATCAGCTTTTGCACGGTCGAGTGCTGTAGTGAGACAACGAGGAACTGCTCTGGAAACACCGTAGGGTCATGCAAAAGGACTCTCTCCCTTCATTCTCAGAGACAAGCGCATTTTCTTGGCTACAAGGAGCTGCAAGCAGCTCCGAGCAGAATTTACCCGTCCCCTCAAACGATGGCCACAGAACGAGACTGATGGCCTCGGCTTCGTCTTTCTGAGCCTCGACACTTCGCTTGCGCGAAGTGTCGAGGGGCTCCGCCGGCTTTGTGTTCTCCTTCCTCCTCTGCCATCCCAACAAAAATCCTGAGCTCCTGAGCTTAGGAGTTTCATGGTGAAAAGCGCTGATAGCCAATCTAAGAGAGCAGTGCTCGGCGTCACTACTCCTGGATTTGATTCGAACTTCGGCATACATGTCAGAGTCAGCATGATGGGGAATGGAGGGAAGGAGGGGGATGCACCTGGGATGGAAAGGCTCTGGTCAGGTTTGGGGTTATGAAGTCTGACGACCATACTGTCAGCAGATATTTCTGGTGTCTACGGCGGAGGTGTTCTCAGTAAATAAGACGATGCCTCCGCGATATGATTGCTTCGGGAGCAGCTGGGGAGAGCTTGGGGAGTGGGTTGGGAGTTATGAAGTTGGGAGCAGCTGGGGAGTGGGTTGGGAGCACTAAAGAAGATAACTGCTGAAATCGGCACTTGGGCCCCTCCCGAAGCCGACCCGGATTCTTAAGGAAACCCGAACCGCCCTTCCGAAGACGACCCCGCTACTTGCCCAAAAAGAATTCGGACCTGCATCCGGAAGAAGGCAGAGCGAATTTGGCTTGAGGTGTGTCTTGGAGGGTGTTTGGCTTGGACTGGAAGGTAGTGAGTAGGTTGGGAGGAGGTTGGGAGTGGGTTGGGAGGAGGTTGGGAGTGGGTTGGGAGAGGTTGGGAGTGGGTTGGGAGGTTGGGAGTGGGTTGGGAGGAGGTTGGGAGTGGGTTGGGAGGAGGTTGGGAGTGGGTTGGGAGGAGGTTGGGAGTGGGTTGGGAGGTTGGGTTGGGAGGAGGTTGGGAGTGGGTTGGGAGGAGGTTGGAGGGCTGGGAGGAGGTTGGGAGTGGGTTGGGAGGAGGTTTGGGAGTGGGGGGAGGTTGGGAGGGGGTTGGGGAGGAGGTTGGGGGTGGGTTGGGAGGAGGTTGGGAGTGGGTTGGGAGGTTGGGAGGGGTTGGAGAGGTTGGGAAGTGGGTTGGGAGGAGGTTGGGAGGAGGTTGGGAGTGGGGGTTGGGAGTTTGGGAGTGGGTTGGGAGGTTGGAAGAGATGGGTTGGGAGGAGGTTGGGAGTGGGTTGGGAGGAGGTTGGGAGGGGTTGGGAGAGGTTGGGAGTGGGTTGGGAGGTTGGGAGGAGGTTGGGAGGGTTGGGAGTGGGTTGGGAGGAGGTTGGGAGTGGGTTGGGAGAGGTTGGGAGGTTGGGAGGAGGTTGGGAGTGGGTTGGGAGGAGGTTGGGAGTGGGTTGGGAGGAGGTTGGGAGGAGGTTGGGAGTGGGTTGGGAGGAGGTTGGGAGTGGGTTGGGAGTGGGTTGGGAGGAGGTTGGGAGTGGGTTGGGAGGAGGTTGGGAGTGGGTTGGGAGGAGGTTGGGAGTGGGTTGGGAGTGGGTTGGGAGGAGGTTGGGGAGTGGGTTGGGAGGAGGTTGGGAGTGGGTTGGGAGGAGGTTAGGAGGGCTGGGAGGAGGTTGGGAGTGGGTTGGGAGGAGGTTGGGAGTGGTTGGGGAGGTTGGGAGTGGGTTGGGAGGAGGTTGGGGGTTGGGAGGGGAGGAGAGGGTTGGGAGAGGGTTGGAGTGGGAGTGTTGGGAGAGGGGGAGAGGGTTGGGAAGGGTTGGGAGAGGGTTGGCACCCAACACCATGCTTACGAAGACGACCCAGAGGAAACTGTGACCAAACACCACACTTACGAAGACGACCTAGCAAATATGCATACCCCCACACCCTTTCTTATATAGTGAGAACACCTACTTTGAAGACACCAGAAAAATGCCTGGATACTGCTCTCTGTCTCACAGCAAGCTGAACAACTGCCTGCATAGAAATAGAAACTTACGACGATTTAAGGCATCTGCACAGCCGCTCAAGCAGCACCGCCACACCAGAGGTTAGGCCTGGAGGAGAGACGGCTGGACCGAGCAACAACCGCTAAGCTCTAAGGAACACTTAATGGCAGCAATAGCTGATTGCGTATCCCGCGTATCTGCATTGATGCATGCCTTGCATGTTTCGGAGGAAGGATCTCCGTTTGAGGCAGTAGCATGTTGTCTCTTGAGACCCAGGCTGACGTCAGGAGGTGTGAACTGTGTTGGCCTCCACAAAGCCGCAGTACGTCGGAATGCAACAGCACCGAAACAGGCCACGGCCCGATTGTGTTGCAAAGCTCCAATAAAGAAGGGACTTCATGAGCTGGGACTCTGCGAGGAAACTTTACTGCTGGGACTGCCAGGATGCGTGAATGTGATCGAAGAGGCAGGCCGTGTGTCGTGTGCGTGGAAAGTACTACTTGCGTTCGGGCTTGCAAAGTGCCGCTTTCGAAGCTGGTTTGAAGAAGCATAAATGCAAAACCGATATGCGCTACTGTCAAAAGGTACAAGTGAAGCAGACGGACAGAGGAGGACATCCCTGCTCAGTAAAAACCCTACGTCAGGGGCCCTGGCTCCATCAAGGCCAAACGGAGGGGGGACTCCGAGTCAGAGCTCAGCACCTGGCACCCAGCCGACTGAAGAAGAGCCTGCCTGTGCTGTTCTTTTCCTCCCACAGGAGCAAGAATGAGAGGAAACCCAAAGCCACAGCAGGACTCACGACTCCAAGCCGTGAGCTTGAAAAGAATGGGAAAGTCTTGAGGCTTGCGCGATTCTTCGCAGTGGGAGCTGCTCAAACCACGGGGCAAGCTCTGTTCATTGGGGCTTGTCTTGTAACTCTAGCAATTCGTATCGCTGCTTCTGGTCTGCAATAGATCGCCCGCCCAAAGCTGGCTCGGACTTCGGTTGCTGCAAAGACGGAGAAACACATGTGCAGGCCGTGGCGCTTCCCTAGTTCACGAACATGTTCGTACCATTTTCTGAATCTGCCCCTTCAGCATCGAATCATCGGCTCTTGCAATCGACCCCGAAATCGAACCAGAAGCTCTCCTGATCCTCGTCATGAATGCTCCCGAACCGCACACCCAGACCTATCCACCAGGGCCTTGTTTAGCGCAGCAACCGCCGCAGAATCGGATCTTGATGCCAGGGTGCGCAGTACCTGTGACCTTTCCGGCTCAGACCATCCCACTAATCAGCTTTAGCATCATCGTCGTCATCATCATCAATATCACCATCACCACCCTGAGTCATAGCACCATGAGGACAGCATCATCATCAGCACTATCATCCATAACATCTTTTTTCATTGCCGTGGGGCACCGTCGGCATCCCGTGGGCGACGCCAGGAACTACGGACACGCTGAATAACCGAAGACCAAGTCTGTCTGTTTTGTAACATCTTAGTCGCTGTCTTCATCATCCGGTCACCACTATCGCATGCCAGCAGTATCTTCTGTGTCGTGTTCACCACTTGTCACCACCCTCGTCGTCACCATGTCCTTGATGATCCAAGGAAGATTTCGCAGATGACAAACGTGACACGTTCCACGCGAAGCTCAATGCGGAATGGCACGCGTTCCTCCAGGTGGTAATGGCGATGAAGAAGAAGATGATGGGCAGGCTGCGCATAATCAGGATGACGATGAGGATAACAACGATGGAGGAGGTGGTGGTGGGAGTCATCATCCTCATCATGATGGTAAGATGGTGATGGTGACGACCACGGTGCTGAATTTGGTGCATCGTGATGGCCAGTGCTGGTGATGCAGCTGACGGCAACGCGCAGGCTAGGGCTGCTACCGGTGCCAGTTCGGCACCAGTTCTTGCCACAGAAAATGGCGACTGCAACAACAAATGCTAAAACAATGGCTATATGAATCATAAGGCAATGATCATCGAAAGAAGGATAGGCGTGTCATGTATTGTGGTCCGTGTCGGTTTCGGATTTAGCGGCCATCTAGTGGTGCGGCTTCGTGAAGACCAGGAAGTCGCTGACAAAGTTTGGATTCGCAATAAAGCCCCTCAAGTGACTATGGACAACACGGCTCGAGCACCACCGTCAGCAAGTTGTATAGAAGAGAAGCCAGTCAACATCAACTGACTTGCTATGTCTGTGACTATGACTTACTTGCAGCACTTCTCCACGTCCGTGCGAACAGATCACAGCTTCTGGCGGTGCACAAACACTGCAGCCTCTGATGCGCATCCAGCCGCAAGAAGGGTTGCAGAGCAGTATCCTGCAAGTGACTGTGTGGTATGGAGCCTCTGGGAGGGTGACTGAGCAAGCGGGCACCTCACAGCTGTGGTTAAAAGGAATATGCGGAGATCCTGGAGGGCATCCGCTGCAGTCACTGCGGCATCGCCTCCAAGCCCCTGAGGCCCAAGAAACCAGACTCAGATCATCTCTCCATAAGGCTTGAAGACACGCGTAAAAACGATGCCCCTGCCTCTCCGTTCACTTCTGTCTCCTCGCGTTTGCGTTTCCTTGAATCGTTGCAGAGAAGAGCTGTCCAAGTCAATGAAACGGCACGCGTTCGCAACTGACATCGGCAGAACTCTGAGCTCTCAGCTGGGATTTCTGAATGCCTTCCAGCTTCTCCAACAGGCTCCTGGGCACTCGCAGCCCTACGAGAGGCGACCAACCCAGAAGACGGTTTGGAACTTATCCTGTTTTGGCTGCTTCAAAAGGTACTTAGCATAAAGCACATTTTCAAAATAAGTGACATTTGTGCTTAAGTGCCATATCTTTCGGGTCAGTATAAGAGCTGGACTTGAATGCTTGCCAGCACACAAACCTTTGCGACCAATGAAACTCCGCCCTCAAGCAAAAATCATATATGTATGTGGCTTAATCGAGTCCCAGGTACACACTGCACCTTGAAATAAACAAAATCCAGAATCCTGGCTTCAATTTCCAAATAAACCTTCCATCCATGCAGAAAGCACTTACAGCCACGACTGTACTCAAAATATGTACGAGTATAGAGAATTATTACTGCTGCTGCTGCTGCTGCTACTACTACTACTACTACTACTACTACTGCTATTGCTACTGCTAGTGCTACTACCACTACTAAACTACTATACTGCTACTGCCACTGCCACTGCCACTGCTACTGCTACTGTTGCTACTGCAACATACTGCAACAACAACAACAACTACGGCCATTGCCACTACGACTTTTACCAGGAATACTTCTGCGGATACTGGTACTACCACTGCTACTACAATTATCACTGCTACTACTACTGCTACTACTGCTTCTACTATGTAACTGCTACTATACTACTACAAATACGAATACTGATACTCATACTAATGCCTTTACTAATGCTAGTGCCCACATACGGAAACGCAAACCAATACTAATAATACCGAAACGCATCCCTATAAGCTATTAGTACTACTACTACTGCTGGGCCACTGCTACTGCTACTACTACCACTACTACTACACTATACCTTGCTATACCAACATACTATATCATCATCTCGGGCTAATACTGCTACTAAGCGCGCAGACTGCATGGGGTATGCATGTGAGCACAGAGCTGGTTCAGCTTCCAAGCACAATCTACGTAATCGGAAGTCGCTTAGACTGGAACATTCATCTTATATGTTGGCACCGACCCCTATCTAAGCAGTAGGTTTGTGTCTATATGATTGACGTGCCTTTAAGGATATCGAAGCATCAATACAAATATTGTGTATGGGGTGTTGCAACTCTAGTAATAAACCTAGAAAGCCAGCAGGATGAAACTTGCTTGCTGCATTTCTAATTAGCACCAGAAACCAGCCGGATATCGGCAAAGATTGCCGAGTCACAGCAGCTTATATCAGTGACAGTGCATAGTTGTAGTGGTAGAAACATAGAGTAGCAGCAGCAGTGGTAGAGTAGCAGAAAGGAGCAGCTACAGGAGGAGTAGTTGCAGTAGCACATAACATGTAGCACTAGCAACATGAGCAGTCGCGATAGCAGTACTATTCGATTCTACTACTGCTACTCCTATAATACTATATTACGATACTACTATACTACTATACTACTATGCTGTTATACTCTTATACTACTATACTATTATATTATTATACGATTGTACTATTATACCATTATACTATCATACTATCACACTATCACACTATCATTCTATTATACTTTTATACGGTTGTACTATTATACCATTATACTATTATGCTATTATGCTATTATACTATAATACTATTATACTATAAAACTATTATACTTTTATACTATTATACCATTATACTATTACACTATCATACTGTTATACTATCTTACTATCATACTATCACACTGTCACACAATATACTATACTACAGTACTACTATACTACTATACTACTATACTACTATACTACTATACTACTATACTACTATACTACTATACTACTATACTACTATACTACCACTACTACTACAAGTACTGCTGCTGCTACTACTACTACTACTACTGCTACTAGCACGAGCAGTAGCAGCAGCAATAGCAGTAGCTACAGCAGAAACCTGAACCCTAAACCCCTAAACCCTAGACCCGGAAACCAGTGATTGTAGTGAGTAGTATTATGCAGTTTATTGAACTAGTTTAAAGCCATTAAACTGATTCCCAAAGCATCGAAATCACACAGCCCAACCACCTTAACATGAATCATCCTGTGCGCTTCAGCTCCACAGAAATCCCGAAGATACCCGGAAACTAAGATATTTCGTAATATTCACAATCTCAACCGGATATCTCTAAAAATCCCGAAGACCACGCAGCAAACCTTATGGCCCGGGAAATCCCGAAAACCACGCGGCAAACCTTATACAGGGAGCCAGCAGGGAAGCACAGCTTTCACAACAAACCCCGCCGAAATCACGATTCTCAACGACTGTGCTCGATATAGATTTGTGCCACTAGCTTTGCACATGGATAGGACGAGCGATGCCTTAGCTCCTTGATTATCATGGAACTGCAGATCTCATCCCGAAAAACCCAAAACCTCGAATCCCACGAAAAGTAAGTAGCATAGAACGCTGGATAGGTAGCAAACCACGCTAAATCACGCGGCCAATTCTTGCCCTGCGGTAAAGAGTAATTAAGCAAATTGCAGCTAAAAGCCTATAACAGACCATATGGTGACACTCTAACAAACAAAGACTGCAGCTGCTATCCATGCTAAGATCATCAGAACTGATTACAAAAAACAGATATAGGCCTTGCATGTACCATGGGAATACAGTGCATTTATATAGCGCAATCATCCTTGTTGCACAACAAAGCTCCTCAATCGATCGGAGAACGAAAATCACGAATATCCTGTTTTAAATCTCGAAAATCACGCTTTAAATCCCGTTGGCATGTGTGTAAGCACGAAAAGCTCCTCAAACGATCGGAGAACGAAAATTACGAATATCCTGTTTTAAATCTCGAAAATCACGCTGACATCCCGTTTGTATTTGTGCAAGCGCGAAAAGCCCCTCAAACGATCGGAGAACGAAAATCACGAATATCCTGTTTTAAATCTCGAAAATCACGCTTAAATCCCGTTTGCATGTGTGTAAGCACGAAAACCGCGGCCGTTATCCAGAGAGAGTGAGACATCGATCAGTTGCCAAGATTCTCTAGAACGTAAACCCTAATCCTATATAGCTACGCCGCATTAGGTGGTAGTGGCCTGCCAGGCCAGCATATTGTAGATGTAGATATTTTGGCCGAACTGAAACCTCCGACCAAAGCTTGTTTTAGAAAACAGTTCAGGACGAGACGATTGGTGCCATTCTGGAGAAACTTGTCTAATGTAGGAGATAGTTTTGCAGATTTCAGGAATTCTTATTGCAGCCCAGGACTCTTGTTCAGGACACCAGCATCAATATCATTATATGTTTTAACTTCAAGCTCATATGATGTGCAGCGGTCAGACCGTGGGTTTCTTGATATGAATGAAGTGCAAAACAACACACAAACGGGGTTTCACTGTGATATGCAGAATCTAGAACAACATATTCGGGATTTCCGTGCTAAAGTGTGTCTAGCCACAACATTACTATAATTACTGTAAAGGTTCGTTCGAATGTAAAATTTACACCGCCCCATAAGAATTAGTTTAGCTGGCTCGGGGCTTGTGGTTAGAAGCAAGCAAAATTGCTTGCCACCAACTCCACCCCTCACCACCACCGTCACCACTACTACTACTACTACTACCACCACCACCACTGCCACATTCCCTCACCACCACGACGACGATTACTATTACTATGTTACTAAAACTATGTACTACTACTACTACTACTACTATTATTTGTATTACAACCACCACTACCAATACCATAACTACCACTGCTGCTACTACACCTGCTCCTACTACTACTACTACTACTACTACTACTACTACTACTACTACTACTACTACTACTACTGCTACTAGTACTAGTACTAGTACTAGTACTAGTACTAATATTAGTACTAGTACTAGTACTAGTACTAGTACTAGTACTAGTACTAGTACTATTACAGTACTAGTTCTAGTACTAGTACTGCCAAAACTACTACTCCTGCTATGTACTCCTGCTACTACTACCACTACTACCATTGCTACTGCGACTATTACACTGCTCCTGTTACTACTACATATAACTACTTATACACTACGTCCAACAAACTTTTCTGGTCAACTGAAACACGTCCATTCACCATTTCCGTTTTGCCATCCCCAGCCCCCAACCCCAAACCCAGCTCACAATAGCTCCTTCCTTGGGGGGGACGGGGGTACGACGTCCCCGTCGCCCCCCACCCCCGTTTACAGAAAAACATCGACCATAATGCCACAAGCGGGCTTCGCAGACTCCCCCTCCCCCTCAGCCAAGCCCAAGTCCTGCCCCCGACATTCACTCCAAAAGCAGTATAGACTATAAAGAAGAAGAACAACAACAACTAAAACAACAACTACTACCGCTACAGTACTATCTATGTTACGAGTAGTTACAAATATACCATCTGTACTACCATCACTTCTGGGACCACTACAACTATACACTACTTTACGACAGTAACGGGTACGTACTACTACTATATCCCTGCTACTATTATTACGACACCTACTACTGCTAGCATCAGATTCTTACATATGCCAGACCATATACCAGGACCAACCCATATACTGCAATAAACGAGATATATCAAGAATCAGCATATTTGTCACCACCATCGACCAGCTACACGCAGTCATTATGACCTTACGATAACAAGCCTTGCTTCAAGTGGATACCATCATAGATCATCAAAGTCTTGCTTTATAGCGTCCAGCTATATCAAAATGGCAAATGTAACTTAGCTTAAGTGCCTTTTCCTAAGGGCACTTAAAAAAGGCAGAAGTACAAGATGGTCCCCGTACACTTCTTTATGTCCCATTTCGTCTTCTGGGAATGCAGCGCCCCTCATGTGTCAGTTCGAAGTTCATCTGCGAAGCAGCCATAAAGACAGGTCTCACATGCCGAAGTTAGGTCGCCGACAGAGGGATCCACGCTGAAGGCAAGTTTCGAGCTTGGAACAAAAACATACCAACGAATGCCCTATGCACCTGCAGTTCGACAGAGAAGACTTTTGAACCCTAGGCCCTAAACTCCGAATCCTACAATCCAATTCCGTCCAAGGGGCTGCCGGACGCCCTCGGCACCCTCAGGATCTCCTCTCACTGGGGTCGTGGCAGCACACGAACCAATGGGTGAAAGCTCTAATGCGGAAGCAAAACCGCACTGGCGCTCGGGAAAGCTAGGCGCACGCACCTTTTGCTCGCTTGAGCCACCATCCAAGTAGCACACAGCAATGCGGCCGCAACATGCTCTACATCTGCACATCATGTTGCGACATTTCACACCCATAACTTTCTTTATGGGTGCTACTTGGAAAGCTTCACGTAGCTAACCAGCATGTCGCCCTTGCTCATCAGGGCCTCTAGCTGATAGCTCTTCATCAGCTTCGTGAGCCCATCGGCGCACATGGTGCTGGTGTCCACCCACAGCATGTGGGTCGTCGCGTTCTCAGGCGGCCGATCAGCATAGAGCGGATCACCGATTTCTTCTCCGGCCTGGCGCCAGATCACTTGCCGCACACCACACAGGTCGATAGCAAGGCGTTTGTCGTTCACGGTGTGTAGCCCCGGCTGCTTCGCATGTTCCTCCAGCGACTAGCAGTCGGTGACTCGGTGAAGAGGACCAGGTCACGGCTGTCCATCGCCTCGACCAGCTTCCCGTCGATGCTGCTGCCACACATGTAGTGCATCACCGCCCTCAGGTGTTCCGCCTCCTCGTAGCCAGCTATCATGGAGAGGGTCTCCGATTAGAGTGTCGAGCGACACACCCGTCGTATCACATTCGAGTGGTGCCCCAGAAGGTAGACCTTCCCATCGCCCTTCTCCACGTAGTCCTTGCCGCAGAGCAGGAGAAGCCGTCCCAACTGGGACCTGTATCCCAGAAGGCGCCCATCTCCACTCACGTCGTGGTCCGCGGCGTGGCTTGCGTCGGTGACAGAGAGGACCGTAGCATCCTCGATGTCGAAGGTGTCGTAAGGAAAGATCATGCCCCGATCGGGGGTCGCCTTCACATAGTCGAGGAGCTGGTTGCACTGGATCAAGTCATCGACCGTCGCCACCTTCATCACGGTTTGCAGCCGGTGCACCTGGTAGCAAATGTCAGGTCGGCACACACGCACAAGCCAGTTCAAGCTGCCCACCACTGAACGCAGCTGCGATCTCTCAGTGTCGGTCGCCGCTGCCGCCCGCTGCTTCTTGCGGCGGTGGTCCAGGGTGATCGCTCTCACCTTGGCAGCCGTGTTCGGGCAGGTGTCCCGGATTCCATTCTCGCACTCCGTGATCTTCCGCCCGCAGTACTCAATGTTTCTTGGGCGCAGTCTTTTGAGGAGGTTCCGGGAGAAGCCAGCGTCGACCATGGGTTCGGAAGGCCACCGTCGAGGACACAGGTGATCACGTAGGGGTCGTTTCGCTCAATCATTCGGTCCACTGCGTCCGGGCCGTCCTTCATGAAGATGTTCTTCCCCGACCCGTTTTGGATGTCCGCCGGTCTGCTGACCGGGAGGCCGTAGGTGTAGGCCGCCGCGTGGGTCAGGGCGGCCGCGCCGGCAAAGAGCTCCAGCAGGAAGGTGCGGCAACCTCCGGCCAGAACAGTGTGTCGCCGCCCCATTTCTCGAGAGACCTGGTTCCAGAGAATCCGGTCGCTCACATCTCGAACTCCTTGCCCCACCTTCGTCGCCATCCCCTTTGTCATCGGTCGGCACCTGTCGTAGCGGCGGTCGGGGAGAAGTCGCCGCCGTCAGGTCAACATCTTCGTCCGAGTCGTCGCTCTAGCGCTGTCCAGGTCCTGGGGGTCTTGTTCTCGGTCTCCGTGGTCGTGGTCACCGTCGTGGTCGGTCGGGCCCCTTGTCGCCATCGTGGTCGGGGTCCTCATCTCCATCACCGGGTCGCCTTCAGCCAGGTCGCCTGGAAGGAAGCGGAGACCGAGCATGCCATCTTTTATCACAAGCAAGAGGTATATTATTTGCCAAGAAGATGGGAATGCGCCACTTCAGCGTTATCCAAAACCAGGCCCAAAGCTTGTTGAGCTCGAAGAGAAAGGAGGAGCGGGGCCTCAGAGTTGACCGATTCGGCCGAGCTGAGGTCGCCCCTGGCCACGCCTCCGCCCAGCAACTCCAAACACAACTCCAGGCCTGGTCCCGGCCGTTCTCATACAGCCGCCGCCTGCAAGCCCGTCTCCAGAATAGGATCGGTGTTCCCACGGCTGCTGCGTACCTTTGCAACCAGAGGTCCCCAGGTCTGGCTGCAGCCGGTGTCGATGATGGCCACCAGTCGTCATCGTTGCTGGGGTTTCCGCTCCGGTCGCCATGTAGGCCCGGGGCTGTGCAAGGCAAGCCTCGTATTCCTTGATCCATTGAACTATGCGCTTAATGGCCGGATGGCTCTCTCTCGTTGATGTATTCTCGGCACCAGTCGCGGTAGTTGCCGTCCGCAGAGGCCGGAGTAGCTCTGTCCCTTGTACTTGCCGGCCTCTGCCAGCCGCTCGCCGGCTGGTTCCGGCTGCGCCATTGGAGGTGGTGTCGGAGGCGCCGTCTCTGCTGCCACACTGCTCCTGCTCGATCGTCAGCCGGAGGGCCTGCGTCAGGCGGTCGGCGAAAATCTCGTCCCCGGTGTCCTGCCCATCCTGCCGTCCACGCCACGCGGTGGCGTCATCGAGGCTCGCCGGGTCCGTCAAAGAAGTCGGTGGAGGCACTGCTGCATATTCTCCTCGGCGGTCAGGGGTCCGAACCCGTGCTGCGCCTCGTTGCCGCCCTCCTTTATGGAAAAGTAAACTGTCCTCGGCTTGTCCTTGCCCACGCCGAGCGCAGGGTGAGAAGTTCCACGCCACGACCAGCTCAGCCAGTTGAAGAAGTGCTCGTGGAGGGTGCGCCGGCACGAGGGTTCTTGGTCTTGCCCTTGCCCTTGTTCATGGGGCATTGAGCGTCTCCGCTCCAATGCCCTATGTTCCCGCATTTGCGGCAGGTGGTCTTCGCTTTGAGGTGCAGCAGGCGTGCCTTCTTTTCGTCCATGCTGAACATGCCGCTGATCTCAAAAGTTGGCGGCTTCATAGGCGCATGCCCCTTGGCACTCGCGCCCTTGCGGCTCCAGAACGCCTCCTCCTCGGCTGCCGCGAAGTCCCCGGCCTCAGCGTCCTCAGGGTATAGGTAAGCCAGGTGCTCCTCGGCGAAGGTGCCCGGGTCGAAGTGCTCTCCTCCTCCGCAGTGCCGCGGGTCATGTAGCCGTAGGCGTGCTGGGCGGCGTCATGGCCGTCCTCATAGGCACGGCCGTCTTGCAGGTAGTCGTCGCGCGGGCCGGCCTCGCTGTAGAAAGCGTAGTTCTTCGCCTTCCCCTTGACGCCCGCCCCCTGCCATGCCGGCTTCCATTGTCCCCGGCCATCCGGGAAGCTCCTTGGTGCGCCGTGGCCGCCACTGCGCTCATGCACACGGCTGTGTTGGTTGATCAGCTCCTGCGCCACGGCGTCGAACGTCATCTTCTGCTGGAGGCTGACCCTTATAAGGAGCTTGTGGTCCTCGGTGATGTTACTGTTGTCGAGGAGCTGCTCGGCCAGGATGGTGTCAGGAAGCTTCAGCTCTGAGCCAAGGTCCCACAGCTGCTGGTACCAGCGTCTCAACACGTAGTCTGCTATCCGTTCCTGGGCCTGTCTTGACATGTAACCGCCGACGCGGGCGCCTGCTTCGTAGAGCTCCCGTGCTTGCTGCTGCCGTCTTGGGCGCAGCTGTGTCTCGAGCTCGGTCATCAGGTAGTCGGCGCCGCCCTTGTCGTCGATCTTGTTCATGTCCATCAGCTGCACCAGCTGCAGAGCATGGCCCGACAGCCCTTCGAGAAGCCGTAAGCCAACGTGCCCGATCTTCTTGAGCTCCTCCTCTGGCATCTGCTTCTCTTTTCGCTGGCGAACCTGCACGCGGAACTTCCATTCCTTGTACTTCCCAGGGTCCCCGTTGAATCTGGGAACACCTGTCCTGCCCTCGGTTTGGGACCCGAAGGCGCCGCCAGGGTCGTCCGCCTTCATGAAGCTGCCAAAGCGCAGCCCGTCCAGGAGGGACCCCGCCATGATAGGTCCCTGGAGCTACAGCTCCACTACCAGTGCGGAAGCAAAACCACACTGGCGCTCGGGAAAGCTAGGCGCACGCACCTTTTGCTCGCTTGAGCCACCGTCCAAGTAGCACACAGCAATGCGGCCGCAACATGTCTCTACATCTGCACATCATGTTGCGACATCTGCTTTCACACTAACATGTTGCAGACTTGTTCTTCTCCACAGGTCCACTTGCTGCATTATATCCCTAGTTAACTGACCCCACACAACTATGCCACGTGGTGTGGTGTGACATTCGGACAAGTTTGACAGTCTCAAGCTCCACGGCCACAGCGGTGTGCTGCTGTGACGTGGGCTGGTGCATTGGTTCCACTCTTTACTAGCCAGAGCATCTTGAGTCTGCCTTGCGGTGCAACGGCTGCATCCTCTTTGGGCCTTACAGCATGCCGGCTGACCCAACAGTTTCCGTTTACAATCCTCATCCAAGCAAGCGGCAGCCAGGCGAGCACGCGAGACTTTACCCAACGCTGAGGCTGAGGAGGGCGCTGAGTTTCTCCCCAAAAAACCTGACGAGTGCTTTCGAATGCGGACCGCTGTGCTTCGAGCAGATTCAGAACCAAGGCCCGCATCAATTGTCCAAAGGCCCGATTATCACAACCGGTGCTGTGCTATGCCGAAGCTGATAAAGGAATCTGACCAGAGGACGTAGCTGGACTCCAATCTGCAGAAAATGATAACCTAACACCATGCAGCCTTCGTTCTCCCAGCCAAGCAGCAGTACCAGCAATCCACTCCCCAGAACCTCGAACGAGGGCTGCCAGGGGCTGCGCAGTAGCGGGGAGCTGCCTTCAGCCGCTCAGAACTCAACATGACACAACCAAAACATGCCGGGATGACAACAGCAATGATGCAACATGAAGCATGTTTGCAGTACGTACGATGATGTCGCACATGGTGCGTTGTGGCTCGCTGGCCTAGTCAGCTCGACATTCGGAAAAACTGTTACCAGGGGCACTAGTGCATTGCGAAAGCGTGCACTCATGCACACACCCACCAAACATCCTGGATCCAAACGACGAGGGTGGCCCAGGAATCGAAAGGTGAGAGTCCGACATGGCAATCTGCACCACGGACTGCTTTGCCATCTTCGCACAGGTCATCGCCATTTTCCGACCTTCAAGAACTGTCACCACAGCCCGTTCCTAGAGGTTCATGACATCAAGCTCTGTGCACGGAGAAGCATTGTTTCACTCACCCTCGCTTGAACCAATGTCCCATCACCGGCACCACCGGCACGGCCGAGGTGCGCTCGTCAATTGCTGCATTGCTTGGCAGGCCGAGGCCCTGCCTGGGCTCGGATCACCCTCTTCTGCTTCGCAAGTGCTTCCGCGGAGAGTATTTCAGTTAAAGTGGCTTCCTCAAAGATGTTCACTTCCTGCTTGCCTTACGTCTCTGCGTTTCGGATCGGGCATGCTTGAGCTCGCAATGTACCAGGCACTCTTGATTGCACCTGTTGGACATTGGACGCGCCCAAAGGCCCGAGAGCAGGTCTTTGCTTTGCCAAGTGGCGGTTCTCGCCGTGCCAACTGCCGTACTAGAGCGAGAAGCAGCAAGGAGTCATATGCATTCTCCTCCGATGAGGGTCCACCATGCAGGATGCTGCACATGGTTTTTGAAAGGAGCACAGCAGCCTTATGTGGGCCTGCAGCTGGCTTCAGTTGGGAATATGTGGGAGTGCGCTGACCTCGGATACCTCATGACTTCAACTCGTAGGATGTAGCCGGAAAGCCCGGTGCCTCGATCTCTGAGAGGAAGAACCCAGGCCGCAGCAGCACAGATTGCAGAGCCTTTCCCAAAAACCCTTGCAAATGAGACGCCTTGACATTCTCGTCCTCACTACAAGACTGTGATGGTTCTAGCAAGTTCCACTATCCTGAAAAGCAACAACATCGCTGCAACGGACACTGACGAGCTGAGGTTGAAGGAGCTTCATCTGAGGATCTTGTGATGCGAATCTCTGTCCCTGGTGCGTTGACATCAGAGCTCGAAGTTCTACTACTACCTGTCAGCCTAGGCGAGGCAAAGATGGCTCCTGACATGCCGAGCCCGCACTAATTCTGCAAAGCAAGCCTGGCAGAAGAATCCAACACTCTGCGGCCATTTCTTGGTAGCAGCAAGGAGCTTTTGCAGCTCAACCTGCTGCTCTTGGCCTGAGGACAATGCTGCTGCAGATTTCAGAAGCACGACTTCAGGAGTTTCGGTGAAGTTGGATTTCAGCGTCAGTTGTTTGCAAGTTGAATTCCATCACAGGACTCGAGGACGGAACTTCACCTGAGAGGACTGCTTAATCTAAGAAGGCTGCTTAATCACAAAACTTTGCGGTTGGAATACACGAACAGCATCGCCAAGCAGGGGCAGCACCACACTTGCCAGGCCACCCAGATCTACCAACAAGAATTCCCCGAGGCGCTGGCCGCAGACTTTGCGGTCTCCGATGAAACGAACCAGCTGCCTCTGTCTGTCGGCTCGAAGGGATATTAAGCAACCATCGTTCCAGAGATTGCATTCTGCTACATTGAGCAAAGTCATCACTACTGTAACCCATAAAACACCTGATAACAGGGGTTCTGCCTTCGACCTCACCATATAATATTCATGCCACGCTACCAAAACAGGATTCGAAATATAATATCACCATGATGTCGCCAGACACATGTATGCTCCACTACATCCATGGCAGCCCCACAGTCTTGGCAGACGCTGCAAAGATACTGCACGAGCATTTGAGTCGGCGCGCTTTGTGCAGTCGCTGCAGAGCTCGTCATCCGATGCAGAGCGAAGGCGCAGAAGGGTCTGCCAGGGTGGCCAAAGACAAGTAAAGGCTTATCTTTGAAAAGGTGATGCAGCCAAAATCCCAGACTATTCACGAAAGCTTGAGGCCTCCAGCCACGCTCGCTGCGATTTCGAAAGCTGCAGCGACAGAGACCGTGCCTGCCTGGGTGCAGACAAGTGCATCGACTCGGCGAGTCGAGATTTGGGGCTTTGGAGCATCTCCCTGCTACTTTGCACCGAGCACCCAGACAAGCCGTGCTACCGCCGAAAGCCAAACCGGTACGCCGGGCTAGCACCTTTTTTCCGAGGTGGTATGAAGCGCATCGCGCCGGACCCGTCGCCAACGCAAAGCTGGGCTGGCCGGCGCCGGGGGACGCCTTCAGCTACCTGGCCCGCCGCCTGAAAGCGCGCGACGGTCCACAAAATTGAATAAACTTAAAAGGGTGGAGAGGGCGGGGGCTTGAAGGACGGGCGACGTCGATCCCAAAAGGCAGCTGCGGGATCAACGTTCGCCGGCTTGTCCTAGCACACACAAGTGTGTTACACGACAAGCCGTGCGACCGCCGAAAGCCAAACCGGTACGCCGGGCTAGCACCTTTTTTCCGAGGTGGTATGAAGCGCATCGCGCCGGACCCGTCGCCAACGCAAAGCTGGGCTGGCCGGTGCCGGGGGACGCCTTCAGCTACCCGCCCGGCGCTCCCCTTCCCCACTCCTTCCCCACACCGCGCCGGCTCAGCCCCTCGTGGATGGCATAGTCGATGTCCCCTGCCGACTTCTGGAGGATCGCCAGGATGGCCGTGATTGGTGTCTCGACCCTAGTCCATCCCAGGCGCCGCGCTGTGTCGAGGTCGCCGCGGGACACCGCATCGGCGATGTTGGCCTTGGAGGGGATTCGCCGGAAGCCATTCGCACAGCGACGCCGTAGACCAGAAGGCTGCGATGACGCCGTTCACCGTCTCGTCCTTGCCGTAGCCCTTGGAGAGGGCGAACTGATGAACGCCATCCAGCCAGAGTCACCAGCGCCAGCACCTGCGCCAGGACCTCCAGGACGTAAATGAACGCCCTCCGGGCTCGTCGATGAAGGGCGCCAGTCTCGGGCGGATGTCGGCCAGGAGGGACCGGAGCGCCTTGAGGGCCGCCCGCAGGCCGGTGGACAGCCGGGCCGACGAGTTGGCCGCTGAGTCGTGTGCCCGGGCGTAGACCGGCTTCAACGCCGCCTTCCCGAGGGCTCCGAAGGTCGACTGTGTGATGAAGTTGAGCCGGCCCGCCAGGCGGTTGGCATCATGTGGCGCCAGCTCGTCGTCCGCGAGCGCCCGGTCGATGGTCGCCATCACCTTCCTGATCCGCGCCGGCGTGGGCGATAGGAGGACCCCTTCCTCCGTCACCGTCGCCAGCACCCCCTGCACAATCTGTTCCGGGGTTTGGACGGTTTGGCCGAGCAGTTCGAAGAACTCCGCCATGCCGTGGAAGGCGCCGTCTGCCAAGGGATCGCAGTCGACGCCGTTAAAGTCATCCACGAAGTGGCCCGCCAGGAGCCAGAGGAGCACCCTTTGGATCGCCTGCAGTGCGTCCGCCGTTCGGTTGAAATTCCAAACGGACGCCGCGGCTCCGAAACACATCGCCATGTGAAACCAGAGGGTGGTGCCGCCTGGCGCCTGAAGGAAGATGCCTGAATGCGCCGGTTCTTCCACCGGCCACTGCCGGTACGCATTCAGCAGGTCGTGCCCATAAAGGCGGACCGCCGTGGCCGCGCACCGACCCCACAACTCCACCACTCGCCGGACCATGTCGACGTAGTCGTCGACGAAGTGGTGCGTCGGCACGTCGTGCGCCGAGACCGTCGAGTTGTGTCCGGACCTTCGCCAGTCTTCACCTCGCCGGACCTTGGTGTATTTTCGTGGAGCATGGCGAACGACGCCGCCGCGAAGTGTTGGCCGGGAGGTGGTGGCAGCAACCTATCGGCTCCGGGGGTGTCCAGCGTCGGCCACCCACCTGGCCTTCGCCGGCTCGGGGAGCTTCTGGCGTGCTCTCTTCGGCGCCGGCCTGCCGTTCTCATCTTCGGCCGGCGTGGTGGAGCAGGGCAGTTTCAGCCTGCTTGCCGCCACCGCCCCGTGGTCAGCTCCTGCGCCCGGACGCCCAGGCTCTGGTGGACCTCGCCGGAGCTCAAAGGACTGACCGTCAAGCCGGCGACCGGTCGGCCTTTGCAGTTGCCGGGATATCCAGCCGAAGTCGGACCCGCAGAAGTGCCTGGGAGATCGCCTCTGCGGCCGCCGGTTCCATCACCACATATGCAAAGAGGAAGATCGTCTTCCTGCCGTCGGCCGCCGCGAAGATCTCGTTGGCGAAGTCGACCGCCTTGAGGAAGAGGGACCCGCGTTCGCCGACGTGCCCCGCCGCCGCGCCTATCCTCGAGAAGCCTTGGCATGGCGGGGCCGCCGTGATCACCAGTGTGGCCGTCCTCTGTGGGTCCGCCTTGTGGATCTCCGCCACCATGTTCTCCGGCGACTCGTTAAGGAAGTCGCCGCGACGGCGGAGCCAGGGGAGCCGGGCCGACGACAGCTTGGTGCAGGTGCTATCCAGTTCCCAAGCCCACGCCGCCACGGGCCGCCCCGACGCCGTCGAAAATCGACATTCCTGCTCTGTCTGCCCCTGGCCTTAGGTCTTTCCGGCGCCAGTGCGCCGCTTCTTTCCACCCATTCCCCGCCGGGGTGCGCCCTTGGCCTTTCCTTTTCCGCGTCGGAGTCCGCGGCGTCCTGGCCGCCCGTGGTTCGGGCGGGCGGCGTCCGCTTGGGCGGCGCCGGCTGGCCAACATCGCTTCGAAGGCGCGGTGGTCCTCCTGGAACGACTTGCCGAGGCGCATCTCCGCTGCTCGCCGGTGCTCCGCGGCGTCCCAGTAGTCCACCACCGCCTCGCTGCGCCGAGCGTAGCCGGGCTTTACCATTCGACATAGCCGTTGACCGCCCGCTCGCCGCCGAGGCCCACCCATGCATGCCCAGCGGCTTGTGTGGAGGCCGTCGACCACCCCCCAGATCTCCTGGGAGTGAATGGCCGGTCGCTTTCCATCGCCAGGGCCGGCTGGAGGCGCCGTCAGCGGGTTAACGACGCCAATGGAGGAGAATGTCCTCAGGCCCACTGGGGTATGCTTCCTCGCCGTATGCTCCCAGTACATCCGCGCCAGGATCTCCTCGCGCCGAGTAGCCGGATGGTGGGGAACTCCCGCGGCTCGCCGCCCAACAGCACGTTGTTGTAGGTGTCGACCAGCCGGCCCCACTCCGGGAAGTTCTTGGGTGGCCGGTCCGCCGGCAAAGGCGCGAGCACAGCGGCCGCTGGCGTAGGCGTGGCTGCCGGCCGGGGGCTGGCTGTGGAGTTCCCACTGCCGCCATGTGGCGCAGCACCGCCTGCGCCACCACCGCGTCCTCATCCTCTGGAATCCCCCATGTCTCCGCGGGGGGGGGGGGGGGGGGCGAAAATGGAATCCGGATTTTTGGACGTCCCCCCAACATGTTCTGTGCAGGAATGCAACAACGGCACAAAATGCAGTGGATACTTTTCTTCCTGACTGTCGCAGGCTGCGCATGATTCATCCCCGGATCTCCGAAACGGGGTGCTGAAACCGGGTGGTGGCCTGAATGGCTCCCTAAAATCGATGGTGCCCCGAACCTGAGGTTTTATGCCGCCCCGGTTTGGCGTGCTGAAACCGGGTGGTGGCCGCTCCCTAAACTCGCTGGTGCCCCGAACCTGAAGTTTTATCCCGCCCCGGTTTGGGTGCTGAAACCGGGGTGGTGGCCTGAAGGGGCTCCCTAAACTCGATGGTGCCCCGAACCTGAGGTTTTATCCCGCCCCGGTTTGGGGTGCTGAAACCCGGCGGTGCCCTGAACAGGCTCCCGAAACTCGCTGGTAGGTTTTATCCGGCCCCGGTTTGGAGTGCTGAAACTGGTGGCCTGAAGGGGCTCCCCTAAACTCGCTGGTGCCCCGAATCTGAGGTTTTATCCCGCCCCGGTTTGGCGTGCTGAAACCGTGGCCTGAATGGGCTCCCTAAGCTCGCTGGTGCCCCGAACCTGAGGCTTTATCCGGCCCTGGTTTGGAGTGCTGAAACCGGGTGGTGGCCTGAAGGGGCTCCCTAAACTCGCTGGTGCCCCGAATCTGAGGTTTTATCCCGCCCCGGTTTGGCGTGCTGAAACCGTGGCCTGAATGGGATCCCTAAGCTCGCTGGTGCCCCGAACCTGAGGCTTTATCCGGCCCCGGTTTGGAGTGCTGAAACCGGGTGGTGGCAAACTCGATCGTGCCCCGAACCTGAGGTTTTATCCCGCCCCGGTTTGGCGTGCTGAAACCGTGGCCTGAATGGGCTCCCTAAGCTCGGTGGTGCGAACCTGAGGCTTCATCCGGCCCCGGTTTGGAGTGCTGAAACCGGGTGGTGGCCTGAAGGGGCTCCCTAAACTCGCTGGTGCCCCGAATCTGAGGTTTTATCCCGCCCCGGTTTGGCGTGCTGAAACCGTGGCCTGAATGGGCCTCCCTAAGCTCGCTGGTGCCCCGAACCTGAGGCTTTATTCGGCCCCGGTTTGGAGTGCTGAAACCGGGTGGTGGCCTGAAGGGGCTCCCTAAACTCGCTGGTGCCCCGAATCTGAAATTTTATCCCGCCCCAGTTTGGCGTGCTGAAACCGTGGCCTGAATGGGCTCCCTAAGCTCGCTGGTGCCCCGAACCTGAGGCTTCATCCGGCCCCGGTTTGGAGTGCTGAAAGTGGGTGGTGGCCTGAAGGGGCTCCCTAAACTCGCTGGTGCCCCGAATCTGAGGTTTTATCCCGCCCGGTTTGGCGTGCTGAAACCGTGGCCTGAATGGGCTCCCTAAGCTCGCTGGTGCCCCGAACCTGAGGCTTTATCCGGCCCCGGTTTGGAGTGCTGAAACCGGGTGGTGGCCTGAAGGGGCTCCCTAAACTCGCTGGTGCCCCGAATCTGAGGTTTTATCCCGCTCCGGTTTGGCGTGCTGAAACCGTGGCCTGAATGGGCTCCCTAAGCTCGCTGGTGCCCCGAACCTGAGGCTTTATCCGGCCCCGGTTTGGAGTGCTGAAACCGGGCGGTGGCCTGAAGGGGCTCCCTAAACTCGATGGTGCCCCGAACCTGAGGCCGGTTTGGGGTGTTGAAACCGGGTGGTGACCTGACCCTGTCCGGAGCCTGCGGTTTGCTGTAAGAGAACGTCCATACGCCGCTGTGAGTCCCCCGATGTTGGGCACATCGAAGAGCTGTTCGACAGGAGGGCTTCAGGGTTTCTGGGTTTGCGGCTGCCGGGCTTAGGACTTGTGGGTTCGGGGTTTCTGGTTCTGCGGTTTCTGGGTTCGGGGTTTCTGGGTTTGGGGTTGTTGGGTTTGGGGTTCTTGGCTCAGGGTTTCTGGATTTGGGGATTCTGGCTTCAGGGTTTCCGGGTTCGGTGTTGCTGGGTTTAGGACTTCTGGGTTTAGGGTTCTTGGCTTCACGGTTTCTGGTCTTGGGCTTTCTGGGCTTGGGTTCTGGCTTCAGGGTTTGTGGATTTGCGGTTGTCGGGCTTGGGGTTCGGGGTTTTTGGATTCAGGGTTTCTGGGTTTGGGGTCTCTGGTTTTGGGGTTTCTGGGTTCGGGGTTTCTTGGTTTTGGGGTTGTTGGGTTTGGGGTTCTTGGCTCCAGGGTTTCTGGATTTGGGGATTCTGGGTTTGGGGTTTCTGGCTTCAGGGTTTCCGGGTTCGGTGTTGCTGGGTTTAGGATTTCTGGATTTAGGGTTCTTGGCTTCACGGTTTCTGGTTTGGGGTTTTCTGGGCTTGGGTTCTGGCTTCAGGGTTTCTGGGTTTGGGGTTGCCTGGTTTAGGATTTGGGGGGTTTCGTCGCTCACTCTCGCACGCAGCAGGCAAGGCTCCACATAGGCATAGGGGTTCTCGTTTCCGGGATTCGGCGCTGGGTTATTTCTTGTCCCCCTCAGCATTTCATAGTTCTTGTAGGGGGTCTGCAATGGGTAACCCCGGAAAGGTCTAAAATGGGTCCGCCCCCATTCCAGACTCCTCATACGTCGACTGCCAGCAGCCACCCATTCAAGACCCTTCCAAACTGCGGGGATGTCAATGGAGTGCGCGACCTGTGCAGATGCCATCTAGCTTGGCCTTGTGTTGTGTGTGTGTGTACCGCGGAGCCGTGGTCTTCTGCAAGAACGGCAGCCGAAGTTTGAGGACAACCAAACCAACGGCTGTGCCGCTCACGGGGAACCTGTGCAAAGCTGTGCGCGTTCAGCAGCTCACCCACTATGGGGCGCACAGTCGTGGCAAGCTTTTCCACACAGAGCCAAACACGTCCGAAGCAGCGCATTGCATTTACAAGCCCCCCTCCCCCCCTTCCAGCCCTGGCCCTCGAATGAACTTTCAACCCCCCCCCACCGACCAAGGGCCAGCAGGACGGGGGATCTTGTGGACGGTCCCGCCGATGTTGACGCCGTCGCGGTAGGGCCGGAAGACCTTGAAGTCGACCTCCGCCCAATCATCCGCCACCAACAGGGTGGCCGTGCGATCCAAGGAGCGTGCCGCCAAGTAGAACAGCATCTCCGGTCCGGCCCCGGCCGACGTGGCCAGGTCGCCGAACGCCACCATGGAAGAAGCCACCAAGGGTGCCGCCGCCATCGTCGATCCGACGGCCGGGAGAGAAAGCGGAGAGCAGAGGACCGAAGGTAGAGCCGGAAGAGCTGCCCTCCGATGGCGCCTAAGTAAACCAGACAATGCATGTATTTGCTCCGACGTTTTTTTAACTGGACGACGACGTGCCGTCGGATGCCGAGCTTGACTCTACCGGTGACTCAGCCTCCTCCGTGGGCGAGCCGGGTGCCGGATCCTATGCGCCGACCTCCGCCAGGGCAGCCTCTCGGTTCTCCGGCAGCGCCGCCTCAAGCGCGGGCCGACCTGGATACAGCCCCGTCGCCCGCCCTGTTCGTCGTGGGGCGGGCCGGAGCTACCGCCCCGCTTTGGGTCCTGTCGCGGCGACCTCTGCCAGTTCGCCAGGTTGTCCAGGACCGCGGGCGGGATCCCAGCCCGTACCAAGGCGTCGGCCTGTATCTTCAACGGAGGCCACCCCCGCCGCCCGTCGGCGTCGAGAGGTCAACCGCCAGCCGGATCTCGAGCCCTGCTAGAATGCGCCGACCAAGAAAAATACCAAGGTAAAAAGGAAGCCGAAGAGGAGAGTCCGAAGCCGCCCGCCGTGTCACTTTTTAACTGGGTGCCGGGCAGTACAGTAAACTGCATGAGACCCGCCGGCGCCTTACCACGCCGCGGGCTCAGGCTGTGAGTCTGCGTCACCGTCGCCAGGAGAGGCCCGCGAAGGCATCCTGACGCCGGGAAAAGCATGCAATCAAATAGAGAACCCGCCGGGGCACTGACGCAATCCGCGTGCAAGTGCCGCCGGCCGGGCATGGTGCACCTAATACCGCTGGTCGCGCGTATTGCGTGCGCGCCGGCAGCCGTCACAAAGGTGGCCGGTGTGCGCCTCCAAATTGGCTGCGCCGTTCCGCCGGACAATGACTGGCCTCAGGCATCTGCCGGCGCGGTTCCGGCAAGGTGGGTTGTCATAGCCGGGGCAAGGGCAGCAGCACCAGCCCACCACCCAGACCTCGCCGGCGATCCTCTCCGGGACCCGGCCGCCACGGATGTGGGGCGGGAGGGCCCTGATCACGTAGTCAGCGGCGCCGGTAGCAACCGCGCCGTGGCCCCTCCGGGTCGAGGTTCGCCGCATCTTCGAGCTCTTCCAACGCCGCCAGGGAGCCCACTACGGACGGAACCATGTCCGCCGGGACTGGGTTGGTCGCCCTGGCGCCGGGCTGGTGCATCGCCTCCAGGTGGACGCCGTGCTCCGGGCTGTTGAGCTCGTGATAGATCTCCATCACCGCCCGGAACGCCGCGTCATTGGCGTCTCGCTCAGCCTGCGACGCCGTCTGGGATACTCGCCGGGGGGCATCGGGATAGCCCATGCCCGTATCCCGGTTGACCGTGTACCACTTGCTGCGGACCTGCAGGTCGTGGTCTGCATGCGCCTCGCCGGCGTTGCCGGTGGCGCCCCAGCCGCAATCTCCGCGGCAATGGTGTCCTGCATCCTCCGGCACGCCTCGGAGCCGGGCTTGGGCGGTCCATGCGAAGACGCCTCCGGGGACCTCGAGGAAGAAGCCGCCGAAAACGAAGTAGGATCCGCCGGCCGTGCCGGAGGAAAGGAGGATCGTTTGGGCTCCGCCGGGGGTACCCTCGGTGGCGGCCGGTCCGGCTTCGCCGGGTATATGATGGCACACTAGCAGGTGCGCCGGGTGTCCGCTCGGAGCCTCCTTGTGTCGCCGCAGACACGTCAAGATAGGAGGGAGGCTCCGGGGCGGGATCCGACATCGCCGGATCAGCTGCCGCCATGTCGCCAGGAGCCGCCGGCGGGGGCGCCTGGAACGGCACGGGTGACCACGTGGTGCCGGCCGCCGACAGCTGGGCCACAAGAACATTCCGTTCGAGTGTGCTCCAGCGCCGGAACAGCGGGGCGAGGTTCACGCCGTCCGCCAGGGCCCGCCGCAGCTCCGCCGTCGCCTCCTCGATAGACACGTTGGACGACGCCGAGGACATGGCGCCGGGAGGCAGCTAGAAGAAAGGCTTGAAGGCCGGGCGACGTCGATCCCAAAAGGCAGCTGCGGGATCAACGTTCGCCGGCTTGTCCTAGCACACACAAGTGTGTTACACCACAACGCTTGGCACACCAATTGGTGTACCACGGTTGGCTAAAACGGAAAGTATCGGACGCAAAGGAAGCAAGCAATTCCAATGCAAGAAAGATTCTGCATTGCATCATGCAAGTGGCTGGAACAAGGATGCACGGTGCAGCAATAGAGAAGGGCAAAGGGTAAGGTAGGCAAAGAGAACATCTCGAGGACTCTACATGGCAGCGCCAACGCATTGGACGCAGGCTCTAAGCCTCTCGGCAGATAGTGGCGGGCCTGCAAGCGAAGCCAGTGGCACACTGGCGAGGACTGGATACGGACTCTGACGTGACATGCTCACAAGTATGGTATACGCAGCAAGAAATTCAAATTTGCTTACACATGTGCCAGGTGTCACCTTGGCCAGAAAGCACAGGCGATGCAACAGCCGAGAGGAGTTTAGACCTTGTTGGACTGCGCACCGGCTGAGGTCTACGTCGGACACGGCCCTTTACACTTGCAAGACACGGCGTCATCTGAATTGTTCCATCCAAAACTGTAGCAACCCCTGCCTGGCAAGTCAGCTGTCGAAGCAGAACGTAGAAGCTACACAGTCACTGCTGAAACGTGCTCCCTACCGCCTTGAAACCTTTGCACGACCGCAAGAAAACGCGATGTCGCTGCATGCAACAAGATGCTGAGGATGGCACCAATCAAACTTGACATCTGCTGCGCTTTGCGGCAGAACCTCAACATACCTTCGAGAACCACTTGTGAACGGCTAGCGGCTTGTAATTCGCGGGCAACAGAGTTCGCAGCTCGGCATAGAGTAGCTGTGTGTCAGTACTGCTCTAGAGGAAGCCAGATCGCCAGTTTGTGCCTGTTGTCCGCTTGATCTTTGCATGCCATCTCCGGCAGCGAGTATTAGTGCAGATGCGAGTTTGGCGAAAACTCTGTACCCCAAGCCCAAGCACCCTACCAAGCCATCACCGACCACTCCTCGACACACAAGCCTAAGCGGCGCTGGGTGCCTCTGTGCGGTCTTGCACCATGTGGTGAAAATCGTATGGCTCGCCAACGGACCTGGCTGAAGCAGAATTTTCTTCTCGACGTTGCACCCCCTCGAGGCGTTGAACAGGACTGATTCGAAATGCACGCCTGTGCGGCCATGACCCGTCACCCAGGTCACCCAGTACAGAGGGGGCTTGCTAGAAAAATCAGTGCGAGACCCCATGCTTGAGACTGCCTTCCCCACAGATAAGCCCATGAAGCTCCAAAGCCTTCATCAAGTGCAACCTTGGTGACTATCTGATGGATGGAATAATTGAACACCCAATATGTGAAGTCTCTGCAGGCATTCTATCGCCTGGCAAGTCAAGCAGTGTCACCACGTCTTCCTCCAAGACCTGCCATGCAGGACACATGGCTCCGGTAGCAGAGTCGCTAGGAATGGGCAGGCAAATTTCAGAATGCATCTGATTTAGTGCCTGAGCCTCAGAAACGGCTTCGCCACCCGTCTGCCTGCCGCACAGAGCTTGAGATACAAGGATTGAGAACTGAAAAATATTCAAGCGTGAAAAGGAACCATCTTGACATACTTGGAGAGACAGCGCGGGAAGAATGCTTCATCTATTTTGCAATGTAGGTGCTGTCAGTACTGCTGGCTCTTACACCCGTGCTCATCCTGCTCACGGCCAGTGATTGCAGGATTTTCCATGGATAATGCTCAGGGACCGTGATTGAGCATCATTTCGCATACGTTCCTTACTTCTCACTCTTAACTGCTGCGAACCGCTTGATGGTTTCATTTGGCCACATGATGAGCCCACATGCATGGGGCGCACTGTGTGTGCACCAAACATCCTGTAACCAGCCAAACTGTTTAAGATCCTAGTCAACACCCAGTAGTGGAGTAGTGAATCTTGTGCTCACAGGTCTCTCTTTCTGGCCATTTCTACTCCCTCGCGGTGCATCTCAGCAAGCCTCAAAACTGCTCGACCCACCCAACAACAAAACCGACGTAAAACCAACGATGATCTAGATTCGCCTTCCGATGCAAAGCCATGGGTGAGTGAACTGGCTGAGGATCCGGCTCCTCGTTTTCTGCGTCCGCGATTTCTAACCTTGCCACTGCAGACCAAAAGCAAAACACGCAGGCCAGCCTGCGCACACCGCCATTGCACAAAGGGTCCTCTATGCTTTCGTCGAAGTACGGCGACACACATCGGTGAAAGTCGGCAGAGTTGGTTGGGGATGCTGCGCACGTAATGGCGTCTCAGTTAGGCCAGGCGAAGTCTCGCCATCCTGCAATGAGAGATTCCATCACGACTCTTAGATGTTGGATTTCGACAGTTTCGCCTTACCGACATAACACAGAATGACAGGAGTCCTTGGACAGTTTCTGCCACAGAAGCAGCAGCGTGTTTAGGTCTGGCAGCCGTGCTTGGATCCGATTTTGCAGATCCTGGCAGACACATGCGAGCTTCCCGTGGCTTCCGGTTCTACAGTCGGCAGCTACAACACTCACGCAGGAACGAAAGGTGCTGTCGTCTCCGTGTTTCTTGCGAGGTTTGTGCCGTACATCCTGGTCTTGGCCGCCGCTGAGCTGGCTATACAGGCCATTAATGGTTCAGCAGAACCTGCTGCATCATGATTCTAGAATCGTGGAACTAGAAACTACTGCTCTTGCTACGTCTCCTTGTCGGAGATAGTCAACGTGGTTGCATGCTGTCTTTGTGCTTATGCGCCTAAACATGCAAGCACAGCATCCCGTTGTCCCGTTTAGCACGCCGCGCTTTGAAGCTCGCGCAAATTTACCACAATCGCCCGACTCCGAGATTTTGCCACTCGATCGACAACAGAGTGTGACGGTCCGGTCAATCACAGTGGAAACGAATCGAAGAGGGAACATGCCAGTCGACAACGCATTTAATTCAACAGGTTCGAGCTGTTCGAGTAGTCACCAATCAACAGCCTGCGAGCCAACCGGCAACCTGTTGAAGCAGCCAGCTGAGCAAATCAGCAATCTTGTCAAGCAAGCCAGATCACTCGTTTAACGATTCGAAGCAACCAAACAATTAGGGAACCGAACTCGTAAAGCAACTTCACTTAAAGACGAGAAAACGTAAAATCTGCGAATGTAGGAGTGGATTTATTAAAACGGGTGGCAATTAAAATAATCCCCGGGCCAGATTATCCGGGCGCAAGAGGAGTTTTAATTGCGTAGCCATTTGCCCTAACAGTCGATGTTAAAACTCTGGTCGCAATAATTTAAGGGGTGACAACTAAAATATTCCGGGCCCCAAATCCCCAAAAAATTAGGAACAAGGCTCAATAACTAGCAGAAGCTCAAACTAAGAGGACTCCAAACCCAGCCAACAGAGTGCAGCTCAGTAGAGACGGCACTGAACAACCAGCTCGCAGAGTGCAGTTCCAGACTGTTTTCATTCCACTCTTCGGCAAGCAGAACAGCTCCGATGTTCCAAGAACTCCAAGCTGGGAAAGCACTTGAGGCCTCTGCCTGATTCGATTTCTATATAAGCGGAGCCTTGTCACAAAGCCGGCAAGGGTATCCCTTTGGAGCCTTGGTTTTCACAATAATAAACGGGGTGACAATAATAAACTTCTCCGGTGGCGGGGCTCCCGATTAGAAGCCTTGTTTGTGGGAAGGCTATGAAGCAATTGCCTTCTGGCAAGAAGCCGCAGGCTCTGGTATTCGAGAGCTGCAGGCTTTGGCAAGAAGCAAGAGACTCCAGATTCCAGGAACTGCAGCAGCTAAACTTGAGGCCTGTGCCTGATTCGAAGTCTATTATTTCTAGTACTACTATTACTACTATTACTACTTTAACTACTATCACTGCAATTACTACTATTACTACAATTACTACTATTACTGCGATTACCACTTTTACTATTATTAGTATCACAACTACTACAACAACAACAACAACTACTACTACTACAACTACTACAACAACAACAACTACTACTACTACTACTGCTACTGCTACTGCTACTGCTACTGCTACTGCTACTGCTACTGCTGCTGCTACTGCTACTGCTACTGCTACTGCTACTGCTACTGCTACTGCTACTGCTACTACTACTACTACTACTACTACTACTACTACTATTGCCACTATTACTACTACTGCTACTGCTACTGCCACTGCTACTGCTACTGCTACTGCTACTCCTACTCCTACTTTCTTACTACTACTACTACTACTACTACTACTAGGTTTAAACCCCCTGGTTAAGCGCCCTTGTTTAGCTGTCGGACTCGTCGCAGCAATCCTCGAGGTCCGTGGTTTTGGCTTTCAGCCACCCCTGAGCTCTATCCAGCACTGTGACTGGATCCCCTTTGTCCAGAAAAGTCTTGAAGAACTCCCCGAAAGACGTGCTCAGTGCCTGGTAGCCTGGGCTTCTCCTCAAGTGAGCTGCAGCCAACCATGATGCAGCTTAGTGTGCCCGAGACGGCAGCTTGCCACCAGCCATCCTTCTCATCATGACCTTGTTCTGTCCTGCAAGTGCTTCAGCTCTGTTGGTTGAAACTCGGAACCTGGCACTTTTCTTGCTGCTGGACTTTCGTTTGGCCAAGTGTGCAACCAGGTTGGCTCCAACCTCCTTCAGTGGCACTTTCGCAAATCGACTGAATTGCTTCTTGCTGTGATTCACATCCAGAAGAGGTTGGCCCTGCAAAAGTTTATCCTTTTTATGGGCCTTCTTGTTAGCTTGAGCACCATCGACGTGGTGCACACACGACTTGAGCTTCTTGTTCAGAGGGGCACTGTCCTCATCATAGTGATCAGGCGGTGGAGGGGCACCAGCTTTGACAGTTTTGTCTTTCAAAGGCACCCGAGAAGGTCGCTTCCTCTTGCCAGTCGCTGGGTCCACTGACCTGGAGGCAAAGACCAGCATGCGGCCCACATGCTGCACTTTGTCCGTCTTCTTCTTCTTGCCACGATGAGTCAAATCTGTCTCGACCTTTTCAAGCTCGAAAGTGGCAGCTTCACCCAAGCTATATTCGTTGAAGGCACAAACGAAACGTAACCATGCCCAGAAGATGCCGATGACCTTCAATGACAAACCTGTGAGATGCGTGTAAGCAGCCTTGAGGAAGTCCTCAGGACGTCTGTGTGCATGCTTGCCAACCAGCATGCAAAGCGGTGAATGGTGTCCGGCCATCTTTGAACTGCACAAGGCAATGCTTTTTGTTGCATCTCAAGGTAGCCTTCTTGAGACTCAAGGAACCGCCGCACTTCCAGCAGCTTCTGCCTTTGAGTTTCGGTAGCCAGCCCCATGACTCCAAAGTTCTCTGAGCCACAGCAGAAGAGCGGCAATGTTTCTGCAAAAATTCAGGGTACGAAAGCTGCTTCAGTTCCAGAAGGCCCTTATCACCCTTTGCAGACTGTTCAAAGCAAGGCGGCACCCACTTCGGAAGTTGTTTTTTCGGATACTTCGTCTTGTGCAATGGACACTTCTTGCTGTCCTTCCTGTGGCCCAACTTCCCACATGCAGAGCATTGTGTCGTCTGCTGTTTACCCTTTCCTCTGGCCAGCTGCTTGGCCTTCGGCCAAGTCTTGGCATGCCATAATGGGCACTTCCCCATGAGAATGATTCCTTCCTACATATATATATATATATATATACTTATATCATAATGTAGAGATATTGTGTATCTAGTTTTACATGATTCCTTCCTACCTATATACAGATAGGTATATTTACAACATAATGTAGATATCAGTATATATATATAACATAATCTACATGAGAGCATCGAACCAGAGCATAAGCTGACATGAGAGCATGGTCGACACAAGATGAGAGGGGGGGGCTTATGCAGGAGGGATAAGGGTACTACTACTACTACTACTACTACTACTGCTGCTACTACTACTACTACTACTACTATTAGTACTATTACTACTATTATTACTATTACTACTATTACTACTCTTCCTACTATTGCTACTATTGCTACGATTACTACTATTACCACTATTGCTACTGTTACTACGATTACTACTATTACTACTAGTACTACTATTACGACTATTACTACTATTGCTACTATTGACTATTACTATTCGTACTAACAGGCCCCGGACAAGGCCAGAAGTTTATTATTACCACCCTGACCACAAACCCTGCCCCATGAGTCCCCCGCGCAAAACAGCCTCAGGGGGGGAAGGGTTCATTAAAACCACTCCAACATTAATTAACCCGTCTACGGAGCTTCAGAAAACGGGGAAGTCAAACGAACTGTCTGTCCAGCAATCAGGCAGCAAGACGCAGCAAGCAAACAACAATCGTTGCGTCCTCCCGCTCCGTTGGCATGCAGTCCGCGCTGCGGAGAGCGCGCTGCAGGCGCTCCAAGGCCTTGCTCGGGTCATGGGCTCGCTTCAAATCCAGCTGACCCGACTGGTAAGTAAGTGCTGCACCGCTAAAAGCAGAACCAGTGCTCCCAGCTGCAGAAGCGGCTTTGGCTGAAGCAGCGCCTGCAGGCTTAGACTTAGACTTGAGACCTTATCTATGTCACCATTGCGACTGCAATGCCCACACCTGAGACGACCACTACTCATCTACAGTGCACACATATTGCAGAGCAGTGCCCACACACTTCTTCAAGGGTCTAGAGATGTCGAATTCAATAGACGGCAGATCGATATACTGTGCAAGCCACCACATGCAACGAGCAAGTACAATCTGTACCATCAATCTGTAACCACGAAAACCAACATCAGTAACATCAGGCAGCAGCACTCATCACGGAAGTGCAGCCAACCTGCGTAATAAGCCCCTTGTGCATCGCATGGGGCACCAACGCCTCCTGCAGCCAGGACCTGAGGGAGTTCGGATTATCAGCGGATGGCTTCATGCAGTACTTGAGATGAGGTCCACGAAAGCTAGGGGAATGAAGCGTAGGAGGGAAACGGCGGGGCGACTCGTCACACGAATTTTTTGCAGCGCAGCAGTGCGAATCACTCGAGCGTGGCGGGGGAATAATTACGCACAACTGGAAATTTCATTGCGCGTACTGGTGGCATCTTCGGCCCGGCACATCCCACCCAGACTTTTTGCCTCCTAGTGGGTCAAGGGAATATTGCCAGCGATGCGCAGAAAAACGTTAAGGCAACCCACTGTCGTTGCTAAATGCTCACAGTTTCTGTGAATTTCACTTGCAAAACAAGCATCAAGCTGGTTAGCATGCGCCGGCCCGAAAATGCCAATACACTCCTACACAACCGTAGACGAAACTCGCCATGCTGCCAATTGCCCTTGAAGCTGGTGTCGATCTTTCACTGCACAAGAGTCTGAACATGCTGGACAAGGGACCGTCAGGTAGTGTGGGCCCTCTTTAGTGCCTCCGATCAACTATTTGCGTCGTGCCGGACGCAAGCTCCACAGAGCTAGGCTTTGTGATCATGTATGCGGCTTCGAGGTCACGTAGACTTTGTTCCAAAGCTGTACTCACCAACCCTGCACTCTCCAACAAACTTGAGGCCGAAGCTACGTCAAGATTGCGGTACAGTGCATCTCTTGCCTTTTTTGCGATAATGCTGCTGGGGTAGCGGCATTCGCAGCTCAGCGGACGCTTCGGTCCCACTGGCGCCTACAGGGCCCACCAGCGCAGAAGCCTGCGGATCGAGTCTTCGGAGTGGTAGCTCAACTCATGTTGAGGTGGTGTTGGCTTGCATTAACTCCCGCACAGGCGAGGCTTCAGCATCGGACGCAAGGGCTCAAGATGGCTCAAGCTCCCAAAGTCCGGTCGCATCAGTCGTTCAAACATCTTCGCAGTCGAGTCCAAGTGTGACCAACCCTGAAAGCAAGGCACAATGCGGCGTCGGATGTTCCTGCGACATGGATGCTATTCCGACAAGCAGCTCAGGCTGTGCAAGTGGACTCTTATCGACCCCAGTGCGCATCAGTAGCTTTCACCGAGCTGTCTGCGAAGGCGCAAAACCTAGCTTTTGCCAGGGCCTCTGCTCGCAGCGAGCTCACGTCCATGCGCAGCAGCTTGGCAAGAAACCCGACACTGCGGAACCAGGTCCTGACAGCAGTGCGAGCACCCCAACTACCCCAATCAAGAGCTCTTGCAAGTTGTTACTTGTTGTTGCGATGCAGCGATGCTGATGCTGCCGATGCTGCTTGTGAAACCATTGCCGGATATTCGGCAACGGAAACACAAAGATCCACCTACTCGCAGACATGTCTAGGATGACACAGGGTTCAATGCCTTGAGTGCCACTAGGACCACGTCACCCTTTCTCCCAAACTTGGCCATGAACTCGGAAGCCCAAAGCCCGCGAGCACCAAATGGACGCGCCGTATCATGCGCGGCTGCAGCGGCAGCTTGAGTCGAGCGCAGAACCTTTGAGCTGTGCGAAACATGCTATGCTATGCCGCTATGCTAGAAACTGCTCTGCGCGGTCTTTGCTTCCAAGCCTCGAGAGCTCTTGTTTTTGCCACCATCTGTTGCGCGATTTTTGCCAAAGCTTGGATCCCAGAACCACATGGTAAATACCTACTGCGACTGCGTTGAGTCACACTCCTCCTCGGGAACCAGCTCATGCTGCAGCTACTGCTACTGGCTCTGACACCCGTGAAACAAGTACTCAAGGGAATGAACTAACTCACAACCAGAACGAGCAGTGAGCCACTAACTGCGGTGACATTGGCTCAAGCGAACGCTGGCCACAAACGGTCACTGACGGCCTGCAAGCCATCGATTGAGCCTTTGGACAAACACTTGAAGGAGCCAAAAGCCCTCGAGCTCCCGATGTGAAGTGCTCGCTGAGCAGGCATGTCGCTACGGGGAATCGCCTGCATTGTAACCTGGCCGAGCGCAATCACAGGGCAACTGGCGCGGCTTGCGCAGCAACTCACAAAAACACCTGGAACCCACAGAAACCCGCAAGCCCTTTGCTGCTCAAGAGGCTGTTTTGCCGAGTGAAGAGATCGGAGTGGCTGTGCGTCCTGATGTGGAAAGAGAAGCATTTCTGCTGGAGTGAGGGTGAGGGAGGCGGGGGCGCAAGCTCCCGGTAGAGATTGTTTCCAGCATGACAACTGGAGCTGCAGGTCGAAACGCTTCGTGAACGATGCTGAAAACTATGCATTCAGACCACCCTTCCCCGTGGCCTGTATGCAAAGAGCTCGTCCAGCGTGGCTCCAAGTGGGGCTCTCCCACGGCGGTAAATCGTCCAATCTGCCACCTGAAGGTTCTGAGGCTGAAGAACGGGTTCTGGCATGTAGTTTAGTCATTGGCCGTTTGCACCGAACCAGAACCACAAGGTTTAGATCCACAAGGCTTTTTCGACACACTTGACCTTTAAAAACTTTTAAACACAAAACAAACTTGTAAATACAAAAAACTTTTAAAGACAAAAAACTTTTACAGACAAAAAGCTTTTGAAAACAAAAAACTTTTAAATACAAAAAACTTTTAAAGACAAAAAACTTTTAAAGACAAAAACACTGTTAAAAACAACAAATTTTAAACACAAAAAAATTGTAAAAAATATTAAACACAAATAACTTCAAAAGAAAAATTTTTTAAAATACAAAAAAACTTTTAAAACAAAAACATTAAAAAAAACAAAAAAACGTTTAACGATAAACAACTTTACATGCAAAAAAACACATTTGTAAAAACACAACTTAAGTTTTTGCAGGAAGACGAGGATGAAGAAGACCGGGCACAGGGTTTGAAGTTTCAGGGTCTTTAGGGTTTGAGGTTAGAAGGCAGAGTGCCATAGTATTAGGGTTTGAAGGTAATGACAGGGTTAGAGTTTCAGGGTCTTTAGTATTTAGGGTTTGGGGTTAGAAGGCAGAGTGCCATAGTATTAGGGTTTGGGGGTAATGAAAGGGTTAGGGTTTAGAGATTCAGGGTAATGAAGGGGTTAGGTTTCCGCGCGACTATACTTGCCAAGCTACGCGATACCGTCCCGTCGCTCCTGCCCTTCACAAACACATAAACACAAACAAAAATTAATAATCTGTGTTTAAACATTGCCAGGACCACAGGAAGCTCGATGATGTACAGGATGAAGATGACCTGGCAAGCTGGGTTTAGGGGGGTGTGGTTCTTGGGTTTAGGGATGCACAAGTCACCTGAAGTGGCTACGAACTGCTGGATGTCGCGCTTTTCTACGTTGACCACACCGTCAAGCGAATCGAATCACGTGCAGGTGAAGCAGAGTACAGCTGGGTGAAACGACACCGTCTGGCACCCGAGGTGAAGCAGACTACAGCTGTGAAACGGCACCGTCTGGCACTCTGCCTTCCCGCCTCGAGATCAAGCAGAAACACAGGGGCTTGCTTTTTTTGAAGCCACCGCCAAGCTTGCACGAGCTGGTCGGCCATTGGTATTGCTCCAGCATCAAGGTCAAGTTTCTCATAGTCCCCAACGAGACCGATGGCAACAAGTGAGAGGTTTTTCATCTGAACAACGAACTGCCGTCGTTGTTCATCTTCGTCATTCCAAACATAAGCGGTGTCACAAACAAGCGGCAACTCCAGCGGTCGCTCTCCTTGAGCCACCTGAAAACACTGCGGGAAGGGGCCTTCTTCGTGCTTTCGAAGAAGCCTGAGGCCTCCTGTAATGCGGGAGCCAATAAGTGGCCAGTAACTTAGGTAGCGAACCATGATTTCCCAAGGCACGTCATGAATTTGATCCCAGCTCTCAGCTTGTTGCCACTGGGCAGGCTCACGCTCCAAGCGCATGCAAGCGGTTTTAATGCAGATTGGGGAGAGCGCGCCTCCGAAGAAACACTCGCCTCGTTCGATCGGGGCGAATTGCATTGCTCTGGACGGCTACTGTTCAGTCACGAGCACACACGGCTTCAAACCACATGTGTGAAAATGTAAACATGCTTTTCGCAACCCGTCTTTCCCAAGCAGAAACACACAGACTCTCTCTCTCTCTCTCTCTTTCTTTCTCCGGGCCTGAGGGCTCTCTCTCTCTCTCTCTCTCTCTCTCTCTCTCTCTCTCTCTCTCTCTCTCTCCGCTGCCATCAATGCAAGCACACACAGACACGCAATTTTTCATTCCAGCACACGATGAATCCTCTAGTTGTTGCTAGGCCTCCTGCTCGGGCCACAACAGGGCCTATGGTCAATGACGAATTGTTCGGCCTGCGCTTCTGTCATCTTGGAAGCCACACGTTTCCAGTGATAGGGCACGAGGTGGGACCACTCGCCTTCAATGCCAGACACATTGGTTCATGTAATGTGACAGCAAACACAGCAGATCAGGCAACCACGTCGAAGCTAAACAAAACAAGTGTTCTGAATCTTTCCAAGAGAACTTCATCTCACCGGCGATCTTGGGACACTCCGGGCATTGAACCGGTCTCCATACCCCTTGCTAGTCAACACGGTTCGGTTGCCGCTGATGTTGGGGGCCACGGGGTACAACCACCCGTAGCTCGAGTGCAGAGGGACTGGCACTCTGCCTTCCTCGGCCTCCACGTGATTATCAGGCTCTTCTCTGGGTGCTGGGACAGGGATTGCAGCAGGCTCCGCCGGCACCTCAGCAGGAGGCACTCTGCCTGGGTTGAACTTGAGCGAACTCGCTGTCTTCCATTGGAGCATGCACTTCGAATTCGTTGTACTGGTCCGCATTCTGCAATCGCTCTTCCACCCAGGCATCGGGATCATCTTCGTCGAAGCCGAATCTCACCATGGACGTGTTCCATAAGAGTTGCTCACCTTCGAAGACACTCCCGTCCCACAGCGTCAAACGCGAAGCCGCCCGCCCCCAGCCCTGCTGGACGGCCCAGAGCCATCTTCTGGTCATCATCTCAGTCATGCCTGCGCCAGTGAGTTCCAGCTTGACGTAAGCTGGCGGTGCATGTTGATCGACCCTGAACTGAGATCATGTTGAAGTTGTTACTTGATTCTAGTCAGTATTAAGATCCGTACATATAAGATAAATGTAGCGTCGAAGCATTGCTTGAATCTGTGTGTCGTCTTTATGTGCTCTGGCCACCATTGGTAGCGTTCTAGGGCCAACTCGGGCGTGGGACGCAAGGAAAAGCGCGGGTCGCGCCCAACCGCTGACGCCGTCCCTGTCAAACAAGTGGCCTCGAACCTGAAGGGAGACGTCCAGTCAAGCAGTAAGAAGAAGCACTCAATCAACACATGCTATGGTTATTATCATCAAATACACGTCCTCCACGCAAATGAAAAATGTGTGAAGGATGGCGTTGGGGTCTTGCACCTGGCTCTTGCCCCTGCCCTTGCTTCCCTTTCCCTGGCCCTTGCCATCGCCCTTGCCCTTGCCAATATCGCCCATGTTACTGCTGGCACTCTGCCTTCCTCCTCCTTTTGATGCTCCCTTCCCGACCTGACTTGTATTGTGTGAGGGAGCGCTGGGTAAGTTGGACATCTGGGTATTCCAACTTGTAAACTCTTGCAGAGTGCTTCGGCCCGGCGGGGTTCCCCTGCGGAGTCCATGGCGGATAATGACATGCCCACTGCAAAATGATGGACAAGGGCACTGAACCAGATTGCTGCTACAGCACAAAGCAAAAATGAGCACGCATACAAACACCCAGCACTGGAGACTGAGTGTTAAAGTCACGCTTGCACTCACTGAGTCACCGGCTGGATTCACTCATCCAATCGCCCCAGCAGCCCTGATCAACATGTCGGCACAACCGACAAAGGAACTGACAGTTTCCACAACCGAGACTGGCATGATCTCACTTTCTTTTTAAGCTCAGTCAGTAGCTCCGGCAGCCAGGTATTACAAGCACGAATTAAGCTGTGACTGCCAGCTCGAAGTGAGACTGTAACTACAATTAGCCCTGTCAAGGTAAGGACGGTGTTTCACCTCCAGCCAGCAGTCCAGTGTCGGGCGCAGGACTCTCTGGCTGGGCCAGTGTCGGGACACATATTTCGACGGCTCAGAACCATTCATTGGAGCAGAACTGTTTGATCATTGACTTCGGGTTTAGTTCAGTAGCTTCATTCATTGCCATCTAGGCGTACTTACCTGTCGATGATCAACTGTACGTGCGCAGCTCCTCCTGCAATTCCAGCAACGCTTCAATCATGTACTCACGATCCCGGAATGGAGCATACTACTGGATCCACGTGGCAATGGCTTGTTCCATGGACATCGAGGCAAAGGCCATGACTAAGGCACAATAAGCAGCACGGGTCCTGTTAATGCCACCGTAGCAATGCACATGCACACGAACTGGCCTCTTCTTGCCTCCACGCTTCCGACCACCTCCCTGAAGCTTCACCGCCTCCAATAAAACAAGAGCATTACCGAGCTCACCAGGGAATGTCTCATCAGCCACCTTCAAGGCACTCTGCCTTTTATT